TATTGATTCAAACTTGAGTTTAATTGTATTAGACTTTTACGCAATCCCCACTAATAACAATGCCCATTTATTCAATGAAAGACACACAACATATTTAAGTTTAATTATATAAGCAGGGATAAAAGGTATACTCACATCACTACTGGACTGTTGGGCCTGAGACATTGTTACTATCTCCTGGTTGGTCACCTGGCCTGAGTACCACATCTGCTGCTGGGAGAACTCAGACTCAGACTGGAAGGCCTGCTTAGAAAACGAGGACATACCTGATTATTTCCAGCAATTCATAAGACAAATAGTAATTGACCTTTAATGGCTATTTTAAAAATCAGGCATCCGATGTTGTCTACTTTGTTGATGCCTAACTTGGTCTCTGTGAAGTGATTGTAAAAGGTTGCAATTTACTTCAATGCATATAAATCAAATCCTAAACCAAATAGCAGTGACGAATGTATTGGCAGCGTCAGCCAATACAAATGAGCTACTTGATTTGTCTCCTACATGAATTCTGTAATCATACAGTTTCCAACATTTCCATTTTCTTACATCTTAATATTGATTATTTGAAATAAGATTTTGGATTGATGCACACAATAACTTTGCTGTTTGCAAAACAAGGTAAACTGTGCAAGGAACAAAAGATAGGTGGGTTTGTTTGCTTTATACTAAACAAAATCCTATTTCAATTATCATAATTTAGGCTGGAGTGGAGCTTCTTTTTAACTTGTTATGGCCACTTTATTTACAGGGAGCTCACCTGGCTTGTCATCTGACTGGCTAGGCGAGCCTTCTCCAACTCCATGGACCTCATGTCTTGGTGGAAGGTCGACATAAAGCGCTCACCATCTTCACGATACTTCAGCTACAAATGCACAAAAATGACAAACATTTAGCCATGGACCATCCGGCATTTTCACATGCACACATAAGAGATATTTTTACAGGAACCACTTAGGTAGTTGGATGTATGAAATCAACGTAAAAACTGACAGATATTAAAATGGCTTCAGATCCACAGATCCCTATATTCTTATGTTGTCAACTTTCATACCAGACAGCCTGACCCACATGCTTTATGTTGAACGGATAATATTAGTGTGCTGTTATTAATAAGTGAGATGTTCCAATCAAGAAGTTGGACCTGCCAAGAGAAGATCCAGAGGGGAGTGATACAACTCTGAGCTGTTTGCTAATGATCCTTTAGGCTGTAAAAATGTTCAAAACTAATAATAGAATAGCTTTATTGCAGGGGATACTTTCAATCAGAACTCAATGTTATGTTTGACATGAGCAAAATCTTACTCAATGAAAACAAGTAACTTATTCAAAAAAATAAGTTCTGCATGTAAACCAAATGTTTTTTTTATGAGTGGACAAGGTTGAGGGTCACTCAGCAGGCTCTCAAGTCAGCCCCCAGATCAGGTATCAACAAGTTAAGTCCTTTATCTCGCTAATAGCATAAAGCAGTAGCTAAAACTGCTAATATAAGCACAGGAGCTTTGCATGAACTCCTAGACACAAACAAGCACACAGACAGCAACAGGTGGCAGAGGAGAGGAAGGGATGTGTGGCTGTTTTTCTAATGAATAATTTTAGACCCCTGAAGCATAAGAAGGGCTAAGCAGAGAGGGGGTTGTCTCGCCTCTGTCACAGGAACAGAAATAACCGGAGCCGCGCTCTCCATTCCACAACGCTGCCGTCACCCGGGACTCTGAGCTGTCCACCTCTCTGTCTTTCACCCGTAAAGAGGGAATGACAACGTTGTGATCTAAAAGTAATGAATCTGCTTTAGGTCAGATCTTTAGACTTCTGATAGTTTGCAGAATAATGGATCTGGGTCACCTGTGAGGTTATCAGTTGTTTTGTGTGATGAATTGAAAAGCAGAATTGTTTATTTCCACCTTTAATAGAGAATTTTAAAACAATGTCCCCACATAGGCATATATAAATTCAGTTGTAATGCTTGCATACATCCTTTTTTTAAACCAAGACAATGACCACTATGAATAGCCATCTCATGACAAACAAATGATAAATAGCATTTCACTCATGTCGAAGACAGTGACTCATGTCAACCTGTCAACAATGCACCTTGACTCAAATCAAGGCCAAAACATTTTGTCTAAGGTTGCTGCTTGTTTTTCTTTTTACATGTAACATTATCTTACCTCGCTGCTCGCCTTGCTTTGCTTCTTTGCATTGATATTGACAGGGGTCTCATAAACGCTTGTGAACGTGTTGTTCCTGGGATTGTGTCTGCAGGGATGAGGTATGACAACATTGTCATTATTTAAATGACTACATTTAAACAAATGGACAACATGTTCACACCAAAATTGGGCTTAAAACACACTTTTTAAAATAATATGTTGGGATAATTTTCAAATATAAAGTTATATACATGTCTATATAAGTGTTGCTGGTGCTTAGTACTTACACAGAGCAGTATGGCCTCTTCTTGTGGCTGACAAAGTTTTTGGCAGTGAGCACCATCTTACAGACGTCACAGTGAAAACACGCTTTATGCCAGTTCTGACAGAGGAAAAAACAGATCACATTATTTTAGATTTTTATTAAAACTTTTATTATAATTTCTTAATCCAGACATTAGTCTTTATTATGTGGACACAGAAAACATTTAAACCTTGGACAAGTCCTTTTTGATAAGACCATATTAATAAGTTATGAGCATGGTCTTTAAACTGGACTCGCTGACTTGTTCTTAAATAGCTTTCATGTGATTGTAAAACTGTACACCTTTTTCTTTATCTCTTGAGTTTTAAAAGATTACAATTCATAGCACAAACCAGTCATAGATGTTTTTCATGCTGCTATTATTGCAGTCTTTGTAGTGATCAGAATTCACTGGCACTCATATCAACACACGCTTGGATCCAGACAAAATGTTAAAGACATATTTTGATTTTAAACTGTAATTTATGAGCAGATGATTATTCCATTATATCAGCTAGGCCCACTGAGCTATATGTTGTAGTTGGAGTGAAAAATTCCCTGAAATAACTTGTTCATGAAATAAATGTAAGCCGTAAGAAGCTGATTTAAAAATATAATCGATATAAAAATAAGTCCAGTGACTTAAGTTTGCACTTTATATCAATGTCAATAATGACGTACACACTTAAGTATTTCCAAATAGATTAAAAAACACTAGAAACACTTTGCATGTGTTACCTGGTCAATGCAGTTGATTTTCTCGGCTGGGTAGACCACAAACCCACACCTGGCACAGGACTGCATGGTGAAAGATTGTCCTTTTCCCAAAAAGCCTTCAGGAAAATATCAGAAGAAGCAAACTAATGAGAAATGTTGTCAACTCTTTAGTGGAGAAACTGGCAGTGACTCCCGGTCAGTCGTGGTAGTGTGTCTCCAGTGGTGGTAAACTTAGCTCTGGACTGTGAAACTTTGAAAGTGTCCCTTACTTGACACCATGTCCCACAGTGGTCCAACCCCCTTCCATGTGCCATGCTAGGAGACTGGCGGAGTCCAGCTGTCTTTTTGCGGGAAGAGAGAGAGAGGGACAGTAAGGTCGGATGTCACTGCATATGTGTAATGATCCTGAGTTGGAAAGCTGGTTCAACTTTGGGCATCTGGCAAAGACATAAAAACGCAATACCTTTCGTACTCATTTGACTTAGTTGAACTTACCTTAATTTGTTTAACTGTATGTTGACACTCAAAAAAGGGCAGGTACAAAGTAGCATGTGAAGATACAAGAAGGCAATGTAGACAACTAAATAGATAACAAAGTTATAATAAATATACGTGCATATATCTCGCTTGAGGCCAGGAAAAGGCTAGTCACGGTGACCTTTTTACCTGTGCTGGACTATGGTGATTTGATGTGTATATGAATGCACCTGCCAATTGCCTGATCAAGTTAGATGCTGTGTATCACAGCGCACTGAGATTTGTGACAAACTGTAAAGCATTAACCCATCACTGTACCCTGTATGCAAGGGCTGGTTTGCTTTCACTAACTGTACGGAGGCTCACTCACTGGTACATTTTTATATACAGCCATGTTAGGGAAACTTCCATCTTATATCTGCTCCCTGATCTCACGGAAAATGTGGCTACTGCCTGAGATTGAATGCTGTAGTTTTATTAAATGTGCCAACTGCTAGGACTGTCTTAGGGAACAGCTTTTAGATGCGCAGCTCCTCTGTCTTGGAATAGTCTGCAAATTAAATGGAAACTGAACAATCTGGTGCCACTAAATGTTTTTAAAGCTCGGTTGGATGCTACTCAATCGGAAGCTATTGGTACCTGTTTATGTGGATAATTATGTAAATGATGCTGTATGATGTCCTTTTGTTGTTCTATTTATGTTTTTATGTTTCATGTGGAACTACTTGAGCAGGTCTCCCTTGAAAAATAAATCAATGATCTCAATGGGATTCACCTGTATAAATAAAGGTTTGAAATGAAAATACACAAAATCAAAATGTTTTTATCAACCTAAGGAATAATGGTGTCTGCAGTGATGTGCACAAATCAGTGTGCCATTGCTTCTTGAGTTATTTTTTAATCTACCAAGATTTAAATACCCGTTATTTCCGCCCAGCTGAATGTGACATGTGTGAACTTGAAGTTAAAACAACCTAAAATATCAGCTTGTGAGTGTGACAGTGTTTAATCTTATAACTAAATATGTGGATGCATTATTCGGAAAAACTAAATGTGAGTGTTTTAGTGTCTCTGAGTGCTATAATAGCCATACAATATGTTCTCTATGATAGATAGATTAACTGTGTGTGCTGTGCTGTTAAAGGTACAATTTGACATAGGGAACACTTTGTATATTCTGCTTTTAACAGTTGTTTATCAAACATACTATTTTTAAAATGGTGTGTTTCTTTCTCCCTTCTTTGTATGATTCAATGAGATAACTTAACGTTTGAATTTCTGTGTTATGCTGTTTATAACTTAAAATGAAATGTGGGAGACCTGACTTACGGCTGTGACGTAGTTACGCACTCAAGACACTTCACGCTGAACGTACTTTCACTTTCTAAGGTTTCTGGAGAGGAACAGAAACCAGGCGAAAACTTTGAAGAAGAGAGAGAGAACTTTGGTGCAAAGCTAAACTGACATAGCATATAACCCAAACAAGAGGGTAAGTCCATTACAACGTGTCCATTAAGTAAAAACAGTTTTCGCTAACGAGTTGTTGGCGCTAAGCTAACGTAAATCAGAGATAAAGCTAACAAGTTGAAGGTAGTAAGTTGACGTATTTATCTAGTGGAATAGTGTACAATAAGTAAATAACTCAATCCATATAGTTGCAATGTGTGTTCAAACTGCAGATGGCAGCTGGAGAACCTGCTGGGGAAACTGCACTTGAAGCTGAAGATGAGGAAAGGAAACTTTCCGGAGACGAAACAGACGCCAGTCCTGACCGCAGAGGAAGATTTCTGCTGTTTGGAAGGTGACTTCCTTTTCATGATTTACTGAAGCTTTATGTGAGGATGGTCACATAATGGACTGAGATGATAGTTTGTTCCATAAGCAGTTGACTTCACTTTAACAGAAACTATATGTTGACTGTAGTTTTCAGTTTCATTATTATCCCCTCTGCTCTTTGTGTATCGACATTTTTTAAACACTGAAGTTAGAGCAAAACAAGTTAAGGGTTAATTGAATTTGTTGCCTGATATAAGTCTATGCTGGCCGATATTTTAAAAGGGATTCTTTCCTTTAATTATGTTTTGTATGACATAAACAAGGCCTTGCTCATGACAGTGTTTGACTGATGCAATCCCGTTACCCTTTGTACTCGAGTCTAGGCTACTTAATGTATCTCTACTGTGTTTCTGCTTAAGCCTTTTCTTTCACTTTTAATTGCTTCCCTTAATAGCAGCCTTTATGTAGTTTGTGGTTTGTCCTTTTGACCCCATTTTCACCAACAAGAAGGAAGTGTGTTTTGTTTCAACAGCAAATTTACTCTCTTAAATAGCGGTTTTGAAACTATTGACATAGTGCTACACATCTTCCAAAATAAACAAAATGTCATATATAATAAACATAATTTAATGACATCTTTTATGTAATTACCCAAATATCTACACTGATAAAATATTTCATGTTTTAAAGGAGGTAATTATTTTTCACACGAGGGGGCCACTTATGTTCTCATAATACTTAACTTATCAACCCTTGAAAATGAATCACCCTTGATTTGACACAGCAACCCAGTTTTGAATAGCCTGTTTTAGTTCATTGGAGCAAGAAGTCGAAGCTTTTTAAAGTCAAATGTGGGACTGATGTCAGTCCTTAAGTGGCTGCTTAAAATTAGATTGTACTATAGCAGAGTTAAAAAAGGTTGGATGTGTTCATTATTTGGTGTGTCATAGAGTGTGGGTCCTTTTTACAATGTCTTGTGTCTGACTTTGTATTTTAAAACAGTGACTCAGCTAACCTGAGAAAAAAGTTGCCTCTGTTTGTTCCAGTTTGCCTCACAAGGTGGCACTGTGACCCTTCTTAGTAGAGAAACATTTGTCAACTGTTTCTTCCAGACACCATTTTCACCCCTACACTATATTTTGAAGCATAAAACAACATAAAAAGGCCCCAAACATTTAATATTTTAAACAGGTAAAGTGCCTTTAAAAAAAATAGGCTACATTTTTTTTTTTAAAGAAAAAACTCAGCATGTTAAGAAACTATGTATGCCTAATCTGTTCAGGGGCGTGTTTTTATTTTTATGACCTGATAGCATACATTATCACCATTTATAGAAACATTACATAAGACTTACCACCTTATCTGCAGGTCCAGTGCGTGTGTCATCTTCATTGGAAGAAGGTGTGACCAAGCATCAGATTAGCTCGTGTGGCTCCTAAATCAAGCCATCCCATGTGATCTGAAAAGGAAATCCGTATGATATTATAGATTGTAATGATAATTGTCAGTATTTTTGAACTGGTTGGATTTTGGCTAAATCTTGCTTTTAACCAAGACTGAAGTGATTGATAGCAAAGATTTCGCTACCCAGAAGTAGTATGTGTAAGTGTTCAGCAAAGCCGCTTTGTTTTAAATTATTAAATGTTTTCTGGGTTGTACTTCTTACACATCCAGCTCTTAAGGTGAGGCAATTAGTCTCTCACGGACTGTATATCAGTACAGGTGGATTGTGTGCCTGTCAGCAGAGGAGCAACTTGTTGCCCTGTCTGACCTCAGCAGGGAGCAAGTGGAGGGGCCATGTGTGAATAGGCCTTTTAGAAAGCACTGGTGTGGTGGCGAGGCTGCTGACTCAGGGGGCTCACAGTGCGCCGCCCCTGTCCTCAGCACCCGCTAGCCCAGTCAGGTGTCCATCCAGCACAGAGAGCATGTCAGTATCCTAGCACACAGCCTAAAATTAATCTGCCAGGTCTGGACTACCGTACTCTTTTTTGGGGGAAAAGGAAGAAACGAGACAAAACCAACACATTTCAGATGCAGAGTGGCGTGGTGCTTAATGACGAACCCAGGTAAGACGGACAAAACTGCCCGATATTCTCCTCAGCGTCCTGCTGCCATGTCCAGCCCACAGCAAAACAGAGATGCAGCTCTATGCCCACCCTCGCACAATTGTTTGGTACAGTATGTTGGCACAATTTGCAGGTGGGAGGGGGGCTAGAAAAAAAGTTCTGGATCACATGTTTATTAGAATATGGCTGAGCTGCCTGTGACTGTACATGCATGAGACTGTAAGGGAGCCCTGCTGTGTATTGTTCCTGTGCTTGAGTATTTGATGACTCGGCTCTTCTGGAACAAGCCTGGATTTTCTGAGCGCCAATGGGCTTCTGTTGGCTTTGCTATCTGGATGCGTCTCTTAGAGAATGGAAATATGACAGGTCTGTGGGAATAACCTCTCATGGAAGATTAACTTCTCGCTCCATCTACATTGACATGGTTATGATTTTTTTGTGAGCGTAAAGCAAATATGTTTCCTCTCTGACCGGATGGTGGATTACTGCAAATTTGGATGTGACATTTATTTTCAAAGTTATTTGAAAATGTATGTGCTCTTCTGAGTAAGTGGATCCGAGTGAGTCAGTTTCATGTGAGTTTTCTTTGCATTAGAAGTCTTGGCATTTACTTGTGTTGAAGCAGCGCTTATGTGTCGAAACAGTTTGGCTTGAAAAGCACTCTGTTATATTGTGTAACACCTAGGGGTAATTATTTAAAATGTAAGAAGAAGTGTTTTACTTTTGCAAGACGCTTTAATGTAAGATAAGAGTTCACATTACAGAGGGCTGTCCATTCGTTATTCTTAGATGCCTTGTTATATTCCTTTTGCTGTTAGAACTTGTGTTTTTTCTGCTCTTGAGTGTTTTTTGTAATGAAGGAATGAGGTTATAGGTGTGATGTGAATTGTATAAATCTACCTTATATCCACACAAGTATAAGGCAGCTGAAGATCTTCTAAATGCAAAAGATTTCGCATTAGGTACAACTGGAAAACAATTGTAAAGCACAAGTTAAGGGCTTGGTATTATTTTGTGACAATAAGGTGTTAACTGTCATTAATATTTTGTTTCTCTCTGCCTCTTTTAGTAAGAAGAATAAGGATGGCCAGAACCGGGAACAGGACTACTCTTCTGAAAGCCATTACAGAATTGTTTCACCAACATTCCAGTATAAGATGAGCCACCAGCGAGTGGGAAAGTGCATTATCATCAACAACAAAAACTTTGATGAGAAGACGGGTACAGCGAACAAACACATTGTATCATAAGATCTACTTAAAAGATGGTGTATTCTAAGCAGTTTTTTCTTTCAAGGGATGAATGTACGCAACGGCACAGATCGAGACGCGGGAGAGCTCTTCAAATGCTTCAAGCAATGCCTCGGCTTCGATGTCTTCATCTACAACGATCAGACATGTGAGAAGATGGAGCGTCTTCTCAAAGAAGGTGAGTAGAAAAGTCTTCAACCTTTCTTTTATGTGGGTAAGTAACTATGTTGAAGTAGTAGGAATTCAGTCGCAACAAATAACCATATCAAAACATTTAAAGAATATTCTTTTATCATTTCTAAGGGAGTACCTAAGTGGTGAATGGGCTTCCTGCCTTTTACACTCGTAGTAGCTTCTCGTCAGACTTTAAATGGTCATATACTCAATTGACAGTTTATCCGGTACTAAAACTAATGCAGTTTAATTAAATGACTGCTGCTTACCACCATGAAAGTAATAACGTTCCTTATTTGTTAAAACGGAGAGGTGTTGATTCAACTTAAAAGTATTTTGACATGCTTCAGTTTATGGTGCTGTTCACTTGTTTTGTGTTACATTGAGAAGAGAGCTGGGTCTTATATATATTCTACTCACATTGATAGAAATGGGGTGGACAAACACTTCTTAGTACAACACATTACAAATCTGAATTAGACTATGTTCACTCAGGAACAGTTCTTTGGTTTCCTAAAACCAGCAGGTCGGCCAGTAGGTGGTGCTGTTGTGTAAGTCATTACATAAATCCTATGGAAGTTGCGCCAATTGAACCAAAAGTTTAAGACTGATCAGTGCATTCTCACGTCCATTGACTTAGTGTAATGAAAAGATTCCTCTCAGCCCAAAAGTCCTTGGGAACACCAACAACCTTTCTTGTTTAATTTATGAAAATTACTTTTTAAAGGCTAATCGCTACATATTTTTGTTCAGGTAGAAGTGATGAAAGTTGGTCAGTTACTTTCTAAGTCCAAACCCTTGATTTAACCACAGAATAGTTGCCATGAAAAGTATTTTCAAGGTCCTTTAAGGTTAAATGCTATTTATTTAAGTGACTCGTTGAACTTTCCTCTACTATCAATATCAGACCAATAGTACAAAAGACACCTTAACATCAAATTGACGGTTATAAAGTGTAATTAGCATTTTCGTGTTCCCTTGCGAATGATCACTTTCCTCCAGTGTAACCGTCAAGTTAAGTTATATACTAATTCAATAAGTTATATACTAATTCAATAAGTTATATACTAATTAAATTGAAATGATAACAATTTAAAATCTTGCATAGTGTTATTTGAATATTTTTAACTTTTGATGTAACATTTTAAGAAATTTGATACATGTAGCTGTAAAATTAAACCCTTTAAAAATCTTGATTAACCAATAAAGTGCTAAATAAACCCCTGAGCAAACCAGGCAGCTACTGATATTATTGATTAATTTCTAAGTTTCATAAGGCCTGAGCCGAGCTAAGAGCTGAGTGTTTGTGTGTGTGTGTGTATGGGTCAGCCTCGGAGGAAGACCATAGTGACAGCTCGTGTTTCGCCTGTATCCTGCTAAGCCATGGCGAGGAGGGCATGATCTACGGGACAGACGGAGCCATGCCCATCAAGTCCATGACCTCATTGTTCAGGGGCGACATGTGCAAAAGCTTAGTCGGAAAGCCAAAACTCTTCTTCATCCAGGTACGGAGTTCCGAAGCCTTTTACTAATAAATGACGGTGTGATATAAAAGAAAGTGTGGCAGATTTGTCGAAGAAGTCACTTTAACAGTTCTTAAAGTGAGAAGTCAATGTCTTTTAGGTGCTCCCCACGGACAGATGATAGCTTTTGTGTCAAATCTTGCCCGCTTTTAAAAACAGTTAATTTGTAATTGCTTCACCAGGTCATCGTTGAGAAAGCTACTCAGGATCACAATGAAATGTCATTTCATTTACTTCACCAGGCTTGCCGGGGTTCTGAATTTGACGACGGTATACAGACAGATTCGGGTCCGCCCAACGATACCCTGGAGACTGATGCTAATCCCAGACATAAGATCCCTGTGGAGGCAGATTTCCTCTTTGCCTACTCCACTGTGCCAGGTAAATATCAATAAATACTTGACTTGTGTATCTGTCACACACCTGTGCTGTGGTTTCAGTGCTGACTCATGTTGGTGTTGCAGGGTATTACTCATGGAGGAACCCAGGGCGCGGCTCCTGGTTCGTCCAGGCGCTCTGCACCGTCCTCAACGAGTTCGGCAAGCAGCTGGAGATAATGCAGATCCTGACCCGGGTCAACTACATGGTGGCCACCAGCTTTGAGTCCTGGTCCGAAGACCCCCGCTTCAGCGAGAAGAAGCAGATTCCCTGCGTGGTCTCCATGCTGACAAAAGAACTGTATTTCAACTGAGCGCACTGTATGACATTACAGACTGACCGACTGTTTCAGGTACCGCCTTAACAGTCAAAGCATTCAGGGATCATTCAGGCCCAGCAGGAGATAGTTGGGCCCGAAAAAAACAAGCACTCCGCTTAAAGAAAAAAATGTAAAGTGGCACTCCGCGTTCATGTGCTGATGGTGAAACTTCTTCCTCTTCTTCAGGTTATTCTTCGGGAATAACGGCGTCACATTTGAACTGATCTTTTTTTGACAGGCATGTGAAATATCAATGTTATTCCACCAGCCCGGAAAATGTGCTGCCACTTTTTGTGGGTTGGGGGGAAATCATATCTGAATATGTGTCTCTCCATTTTCCAGCATAGATTTTGAAAGGACGAGTAGAAGGGAAGGCTTCAGGCTCTTGCATTTATTACATGAAATGGGTTTTGAATAACTGAAATAATTTGCATTTAGGGTTCTGAGAGAAGTCTCTCCAGAAATAGATGATATCCTGTCTGAGGCAGTCACCATTACAACGTTGAATCCAGGTGAATGTTTAAAAGCCTATAGAAAGTGTATTGAATAGAGTGATTGATTAAAAAATCCTTTGATTGCCATAGGAGAGATGAAGGAGCCTCTGGAGGGACATCTGGAAAATGGATCAGATCATTTTCAGCTATTTGTGTTTCCACGTTTTCAGCTGTCAATTGTCAGAAAAACAGACGACAAAAAAGGCAACACTCCTCCGAGCAGAAACGTGACGGTGCGTTTGCCAAAGGCTCGGTGTCTCCGCCTTCCTAGCGCGTTTCTGTTGGTAGCTGCATGCTGGCATCCTCAGGTTCTTTAATGTCCCAGGAAGTGGGGTAATGTAATGTTAAAGAATGTCATACATGTACTGCTAGGAAGGTGTGATCTTTTGCTGTGTAGTGATTAGTTCTATGAGATTTTGGGTCAAGTGCATAGTAAATAGTCCACTCCCACAAAGATTATTTGCAATTAGCCAGTTTTTTCTCTGCCTGATGTTAAAGACTTTACTTGCTTCTTTTTTTTAAATCAGAGTAAGTTAAGTTTGTGTATTTGCATATCATCAAAATGACTGTCTTTTCAGTCAGGGTCCAACAAATCAGTTTATGAATTTCCCTTATTTAATCTTTAAAGTTAGACATTCCTTTTTAATAATTGTATTAAATAATAAGATACATGCTGTATGATTGTTTACACTAGCACAAGAACTTGAGAATGTCAAAAACTGTGTTGTAAATTTGGGAAATATCATAGTGTAAGGCTGGACTAGGGCCCAAAGCACAAATGCCACATAATTTCACTGTATATTAGTGTTGTACACTGTCATAACATACACTTCATCCTGGTTACAGTTGCCTAGCAATGTCTTCCTATTATTTTTTTAGTAGATCTTTGAATTAGAAATATTCAAAGACCCAAGTCAGAAAGAAAAACATATTATTTTGAAGCACTTAGTGCACCCTGCCAAGTTTTTAAAAAACAACACAGCTTCATTTAGTTATTTTCATTGAGCTATAGGGTAGAATATAATATTTTAAATATTATAGACATTTGCTGATGGTCATTACAACTTACACAAAGTTTGTTTCTGCAATTACGCTGTGTTATCGTGCCAACGTCTGTCAATCACAGAGGCAGCTATTACTGGTGGTGACAAGTCTGAACAAACACAATCCACATGTCCGCAATACACACTCTCATTGTTGCTGCAATGTTTTTACATTATTCACATGACTGCATGTGTCAGTGACGTAGGGGAAAAGTTCTGCAATATATCTTGATATGTCATTTTATTTTACCTTTCACTCCTTGTATTTTGTATTATTTTAATCACACTTTTCAATCATATTTCTAGTTGCCAGGAGTGTGATCAGTAGTGGCTTCAGTTAGAGACACGTCCTCTTTATACCCAGTGCACTTGTCCAATCGAGCGATGTGGTGCCTAACCTGTTCTGAAAGGAGTGTTTGCTCCACTTGTTTTGGATTGGAATTTGAAAGAGGGAAAATTATTTCTTATGGGTACATTTGAAATGCTTTCCAGTGTTAAATGCTGTTGTCCTCAGGAATATATTTTTAAAAGATTTGGAAAAATTAATTAATTACACTGAAACTATAATCTGGCCCATTTTTCTTTTCTAATTTGGGGCACTATCTTGTTTATACAATCTTCAAAACAGAGGAATGCTTATGTAAACATTTGATTGTATTAAACATAAAGACTTTATTCTCTAATGAGTTGTGTCATTTGTATTGCACGTTCATAAACACAAAAAAAGATTGAAATGCATGAATGGGTTTATTTATTTATTCTAACACAAAGAAGATGTTTGCAATCTAATGAATAGACTGAGAAGATTTTTCAGCAATGGATAAGGCTGGTGTTTTCTTTGTCTTTTTCCAACAAATATCACTCAAAACTGTTTTAATACTCACGCACCAAATGTTTATTAATATACAGATAAGTGTCTCAAAGAAATACACTAATCAATAATGTTTAAGCAACATTTGAGTAAAAAAATAAATGTTTAAGAAAATGACTTTGTCCTTTTGTTATTAAACAAGTATGTGAGACATGTTCAAAAGTGTTGTCAGATGACTAAAGCATAGTCAGTTTTGGTATGTTCATTGTATTTATTGACATTAAATAAATATATGCTTTGTGTTCAATTTGTGTTTAAAAGCAGATCTATTTTAACAAATTATTTCTCAATCACAGAATCCTGTCCTTTGTAAATCAGCAATTCCCTGATTGATCATGTCATAAAAAACGCTTTGCCACAGTGAGGATCAGCTCTAATGTCATGTTAGCTTTGGTGTGTCCACTATAAGGAAAAGCATGAATGATCTGTTAATTTTAAATAGCTTAAGCTTTGAAGTTTCCAAATGTTGATTCGACTGTCACGCACTGTGCGCATCTGACTGATGCCATGTCACAACATAAGAATGTAAATCAAGAAGCTGATTCATTCCCCACAATGCGACATTCATTCCCCACAATGCGACATATCCTGGCAATTTCTTCCCCCTGAGGAGTTCCTGCTCCACTTCAGAGAACAGGAGCTGACCGGGAAACATCACAGATATTAAGAGACTTCCAGTTTGTGCCTTCATTGTCGTGGCCAGGGCATAATGCCGGATGTAGGGTGTCCGTGAAGGTCCCAGCGCAGAAGCAGTGCAGCGGGGTCATAGTGTCCGCTCCTAGAAAGCACACCACCCCCCCGGGGAAGCTACAGTACACCCCGATGCGAGTGAACTGTTTTCCTGCCAGTAGAGGAAGTGTATGCTGGACTCCACCGTGCCAGGCTGTGTAGTCTCCATTAAAGTACTCCACGCACCAAGACTCTTTGCCCCGGCCCAACCACGAGTCCTCCTCTCTGCCTTTTCTCGGGATGCTGGGGTAGGTGAGCCCCAGCTCCCAGTAGGTCTTCCCCTTCACATCCACCTCCCAGTACTGCTGGCCCTCGCTGAAGCCCTCCCTGCTGATTACATTTAAGGTGGTTTCAAAACGGGAGGGAGTCTCTGGGACGTCCTGCCAGGTCTCTGTGAAGGTGGCTGAGTCGCCTTTTGGAGAGATGATCAGCTTGGGGTGAGCAGTGTCAGCGTCCAGGACAACATCTGCAGCATCTGTGTAACCAGAGACATTCAGTGACTCGTGTGTGACTCAAAGAGGTTGACAAGAACGGCATGTACTGATCTACAGTTTCCAGTGACATAGCCAGAAGCAATAATTTACATCTCAATCCACATGCTTGTTTTATTGGGTTCACTCACAGGTCTGAAACAGTTTCTTGGTGACAGGGACCTGGGATCTGATGAACAGCAGCAGGTTGATAGTGAGACTCAGAAGTTGTCCGCATTTGAACTCATCCATCTGAATCCGGTCCGGGTCAGTCAGCTTCAGAGTCTCAGATATTCTAATCTCAGAAGAAACAATAAATTGATGATTCATGCACAGTTTAAATGTATGTTCTTGTCAATCTAATTTTGTAGCAAGCTGTTTTTTCAAGAAATGTCAACATACTTTTTCTCTGTTTCAGCGTTCTGTATAAAATGAAGAATCAATCATTACTGATCTTAATCACGCTGACAAAACAGCTCAAGACACACATACAGTAGGTAGGTTGACCAGAACTGTGAATTTGTGTTTACCTGAATGTCAATTTCTTGTGTTTTTTCATCAATCTTGGACAGCTCCTGGTCCAGTTCCTGAGTGAGGTGGTAGCACTCCTCAATCCTGTCCTCCACATACTTCTCTGTAGCCTCATACTCGGTGTCCAGCTGGGTCAGTGTAATCCGGAGATCCTCATCCAGGACCCGCTTCATGTCCTCGTACTTTTTTCTGATTTTCTCCTTCACCGCATCGGTCTTTTTCTGAGGTGAGAGGGCCATGTGAGTTCAAAATGCCTCTGTAGTAGCAATTATAAGCAGCAACCCCTCACTCTGAGAACAACTGATTTAATAACATTCCAACACAGTATCCAATTAGTTGAAGAATATAAACATATATTAGAAAATGGCAATTACCATTAATTCATATACAAATAATAATAATCTATATATAATCACATCTGAACGAATATGAGAAAGACATCAAATCCCTACAATTAAAAATGTGGAACAGGGAATTATTTCATATTTTTGTTTGAATAATAGAGGTTTCTGCCTAAGGAATAATCTTACTTAATTAACTTGAATTAAATGATTAGGAAACAATTAAGTTATCAACAAAATTAGTTTTCATATACACAGTCTACAGAGTGCAATAAACAAAGAAACCAGGTTATGTAGGTTAAGAGAAAAAGGCTTTGTTAATGGAAAGACACAGGACAATGGAACAAGGAGGACTAAATAAACTACAAAAAACAGATAAAGGATATTGTTCAGCAGAGCTTTTCCGAAGTCAAAATTAATTTAACCTTGCAGGGAGAATTCTGCGGTAGTACAAGGACAGGCTCTCTGTTAGCCCAAATCGAATCATAAAAGTTTTAAAGAAAGCATGAACCAACAAATCTCATCTCTTCAGTTCACAAAGGACACACTGTGCATTTTTAGGAAGATAATGTTCACAGAAAGTGACTGTTTCCAACAACCTTTATTAATTGTATCTTGTCTATGAATTGTATGAGGTGCATGCCTCCAAAATGCCCCCATGTGTGATTTTACAGGTGATGGTCTGCTGACCTGCTGGCTAACAGCAAAAAGAAGGTGACAAATAAGTGAGTTGTGAGAGATGTCAGCAAGCAAGTTGTACTGTATTGTATTTCAACCGGGTTTAAATATATTGGACTTACTGTTATCTCTGCCTGCTTGGCTGCCAGCTTCTTCATTCTGTGGGCGATGCCATCTCTCTGTCTCTGCAGGCGCTGCTGATGCTTCAGGAGTAGTTCCTTTGAAATACATGAAGAAAAGGATCAAATAATGCAGGTAAAGGAAACAAAAGGCTAAGGTTGGTGGGTCAACAGTGCTTTCCTTCTCAAAAAGAAACCAAATAACCTAATTTCTTACCATTTCTGGACAGTATGGGTGTGTAGAGTTAACTCCACTGACCGGTGGCAAGACGACCATGAGGGTTTTTATAGGCCTGTCACAGATGTAAAGGCTATGTCAGGGGGGAGGGGGGGGGCACACAGGGTGGCCTTGTAATATATGTCCTGGTGCTTCAAGCATTCACCTTCGTTTATTAAGGAGACAATATGACCCTAACTTACAAGACAAGAGGAAGAAAACAAGGTTCCTGGCAGAGAAGGGCAAACGGCCATTCACATTTTCCGCTTTGAGAAAGAGTTATTCCATGTCCTACTAAACAAAAAGCCCACAGGAGCTCTATTTATACCGACCTGACACTGACCTTGATGTTTGTATGTGAGCATGTGTGTTTGTGTGTGTGTGTGTGTGTGTGTGTGTGTGTGTGTGTGTGTGGTGTGTGTGTGTGTGAGTGTGTGTGTGTGTGTGTGTGTGTGTGTGGTGTGTGTGTGTGTGTGTGAGTGTGTGTGTGTGTGTGTGTGTGTGTGTGTGTGTGTGTGTGTGTGTGTGTGTGAGTGTGTGTGTGTGTGTGCGTGTGTGTGTGTGTGTGTGTGTGTGTGTGTGTGTGTGTGTGTGTGTGTGTGTGTGTGTGTGTGTGTGTGTGTGTGTGTGTGTGTGTGTGTGTGTGTGTGTGTGTGTGTGTGTGTGTGTGTGTGTGTGTGTGTGTGGCCTACATGAACACAGGAAGTTTGTGAAGTTTATGAGACATTGATTTAGCCTTTGTAGTGCTTTATTGCAAGAACACAGAGTGATTGAAGTGCATCTTTACCCTGGAGCAGTTACATTTGCCTGAGCTGATGCCTGTTTTAAATGCATGACCCATATGACCTTTTACGTGCATAGCACAAATGGCACATGCATAGGTAAAAGCAAGGAGAGGTCAAATGCAGGCAAACACATCTCAATCTGAGTGCTATTAACTGATCACACAGACTGACATGCTCATTTGCGGATACATTAAAGAATCAGTGACAGCTGAAATAGAAAAAGGACTATAAAGACCTGAAATCGGTATATCATTTAAATGTTGAATTTAACTTCCAGAAAGATGAATCAGAAACGCTTCACTTTACACCACCCTGCTTATTTCTAATTCATAAAATGCTCATAAAAAACACGTCTTTCTATTTTATGTAGGACATAAAGACAATTAGGTTAGGATTCTATTTTGCAAATTTGCTGGCATGAATATGGTTCTGTGCTAGTAAGACTTAAGTTAAGCGTCTTAAAATAACAAACATTTATTTCCTACTGTTTTAATTGTGTCTTGTCAACGTGAAATTTGAGCCTAAAAACTTTAGTTGGCACAGCCTGACTTTCTGTAAATCTCCCATCTACTATGACCTGGATCAACTCTCTCTACATCCTACAAAAACTGTTGGTACTAAATGACCTAAATGACCTAAATGCATGTCTATAAACACTAATCAGTCTTCAAGAGATATTTATCATGTGCATAAATATAAATCTCTTGGCATTCTCAAATTCCCAATCACTTCATCACTTCATCACATTTCGCGGCCTGGAATTCTGCAGCTCAACAACATAGCAGGTTCCCTTTAAAAGCAGCAAGGAACCAGAATGTCCAGTTCCTTGTTCTCGTCAGACTTTGCCAAGGACGATAAAGCACCCAGCTTTCTGAACACTTGTTGACAAGGGAGCAGAATCTGGTACACCTGAGGTAAGAATCTTATGTTTGTTTTCCAGTGAAAAAAACTGTTATCAGTGATTCATGTGACTTGATTTGTGTTGTGAACTTTAAAGTTAATTTGCCAGCACATGTTTGTTTGTGTCCAAAAGTGAGTGTTAAATTCTGTTAACATCGAACAAAAAGTATGATGAATATTCTTTAGTTGTAACACTGCTGAGACTCTGTTTGTTTATACTTTTAATCTTTTTAATTAATGCCGATTTGGCTTTACAGGAAACATCTTTTAAATATGATATACTAATACATTTTATTTGTAAAGCACCTTTCATTACTAAAAGTAATTTTAACCTGTTTAGCCCGAGAGCCTGCAGGTTTTATTTTTTCACGAAACTGTGTCTCAGGCAGGGCCGCCTTACTGCACGGGCTGACCTGGGCTGAAACCCAGGAGTGGAGTGCACCAGCTGGGCGTAAGCTGGGCGTAACTCTACGTCCGACGTATAACCGAAGGTTAAGACCAAACTAAAGTTATGACTAGTGCACCACTTAGACTTAAGCCCTGTATGCGTTGCGCCCGGGTGCAACTTTTACGCCTAGTATGGAGCAGGCGTAAATCGGAAAGACAGACTAGTATCCATAGCAGTGGCGGCGCTAGGGGGTGGCTACTTGGGCTCAAGCCCCGGATGTTTTCTGAAAAGCCCCGGATGTTTCACTTAAAAAAAAAAATTGTTTTTAAATTAATTTTAATTTTTAAAAAACGTCTCGGGAGTAATGTGCAGTATCGGAGTCCACCAGAGAGGCAGCCACTGTGGGACATTAGCTTGCGTACTGCGTAGCCTGCCCTGAAGAAGAAGTGATCCTTCCTAGTGCCTGACGAGTTTTAAGCTAATAGCCTATACAGTTATGGATATTAGAAAGTTATTGTCATTGAAGCAGCCGGTGCCACAAGCTGCAGCAGCAGCAGTATCAGCAGCTGACAACAATGTCATCACCAGCAGTCAAGAAATGGATGATGTTTCAGGTTTGTTAATCTAATGGTGATATCTGCACTCTGGCTGACTGAGTAAGAAGTGAAAAAGAGTGATGTAACGTTAATGTTATAGCTAGTAAACATGGAGTAACCACACTAAGTATACCCTTATATGTTAGTATGTGTACAGAACATGACTACAAATTATCCTAAGATGTAACGTTAACCCTTCATAACTCAGTCTACTTTTAAGACACTAAAATAACGTATTCCAATTTGTATTTTGTTTTCACGTGTGAAATTATACCGGCTCTCGTTTCAGTACACATAACAACAGAACTGACAGGCAACCCTTTGAATCAGACTCCGATTGGCTGTGACTGCATCCACTCAGAGTGTCCGATTCAGAAACGTGACTCTTACACTCTTTACGTCACAAACAAAGATGGTGGATGAGAATAGATCTATAAAACGATAAGCAATGCGCCAGAATCAAGGTGAGACTATCCGCATCCTTTAAAACTCTACGTACATTCGTTTCACCTTAATAAGTAAACGACTATTTGAGTGAGTTAAGGCATTAGTTTGCTTCATTAAAGGGTGTTAATGAGTGTTCTCCAGTGCCTTTTGTCCGCTTTAAGGTGTTATTAAGGTAGGATTAATGTTGCTCTCAAAGTGCACCAGATTGATGCTTTCAACTTCAATATTTAAAAAAAAATCTTCCCGGGGGAGCATGCCCCCGGATCCCCCGAGAGGAGGCGACGACCCCCCTAAAGGATGTTCGGTCCACCGCCCACTTGTAAAAAATAGCACTGTATCCCTGCACCCAGATAACACGGCAGGGTCCGTTACAGTTTGTTTTCATCTGGTTTCAAATAAACAAAGTCTTGGCTTTCAGAATATTAAACTTGTTTCGGCAAATTCAGATGATAAATACAGCTTTGAAGCTTGTAACGGCATAATTACAAGCGGAGAACGGAGTAACTTGACGTCACAGCAGGCATAACAGCCGGTGTTTCTCGTGAGTGTTTTCCCCGGGAAACAAACACAATACACACAAACGCAAAAATACACAAACACACACACATACACACGCACACACACACACATACACACGCACACACACACACACACACACACGCACACTCGTGAGCTTCCCCCAGACCAGTAATCCAAACGAAAATATCTTCTCTCCGTAGTATTTTTGATCATTTGCTCCGCTAATCAATCAGATCGATGGATTCCAGAGATTTTTCTCAAAAATGATGACTCCGTAACAGTCAGTGGGCACCACTTTACAGCCAATCAGAATGAGAATATGTTTCACATGTGACTTATTCAAATTGTGAGTGATTGAGTGACAGATGAAGGTTGTTTAGGAGAAAATGTCGGAGAAGAAAAAGTTTGAGAGTGGTGCTCTGAAAAGGAAATTGTTGAGGGAAAAGGAGTTTCGAGACAAGCAGCTATTACAAAAAATGCCGAAGCTTACAGGTTATTTTAAACCTGTAGGCCAGGATGAGGAGGAAGGACGGATGAGTTCTGTACCGAGCGGCAGCGGTGCCGGCCGCGGGGCCTCGGAGCCAAGTAGGCCGTCTGGTTCTGATAGCGATGGAGTAGCGGGAGAGGAAAAACAGACAGGAAGGACATTATCTGTTGGAGGAGATGGAGAGGACGACGAAGACTTGCTACGTGAAGGGGAGCCAACGGCAACCGGACAAATACACGAGGGAGGCCCGATACGTCACTCATCTGGAGGAAAGGACCAGGCGCGCGTAGAGCAGAGTGGAGAAGTGCGATCACAGAGCCTGCCGAGGCTATAAATGACTTTGATTTGTTGTTTAAATAGGGGGCCTATCAACCCCAGGGCCTGATGGCAGGTTAAGGCGGGCTTGGTCTCAGGGCTTCTTAATATTTAAAAACCTATTAATGTGTCATACCAGATTAACGGGAAGAAACTCAGCTAACTGACGATACAAACCATTTTTACCAAAACAAAAACACAAGTCTCATAAGAAGTGTCTAAATGACCCCTGAGCGAAAAACGCACTTGGAACAGAACTCAAGGTAAAGATACCCTTATTGCTTATCGTAACTGCACATCCAAGATATCCGATTAAAGCTGAGATTCCACAGATTATATAGTTATTAGTATCATCACTGAGCGATCAGAACTCGCGACAGGGGAAGCAAACACAGACATCACAACACGTATTACGGAGCAAACACGGGAGATTGTCTCACCTTAGCTGTTATTCTGATCAAAAGTCGTGTTCAATGGCATTACAACGATAAAAATGCTGCTGAGGGTTAATCCATAAATTAATCCAATGTGTCTGTCACTTTGAAAAAAGTATTGATAATCCATAATTCAATTTTTATGTAAAAATTGGAGAATTAATATTAGCTGCTAATGGTAACCACCAGAGTGTATCCAGCCTCCGGTTTTGGCTAAGCGTCACTTTCACTCCTTACTTCGTAACGTTATGTGGAACCTCCCCTCGATTCCATTGGCTCTATAGCGGTTAAAAAGAGATGTCCATCAAAATCGACCAAGGGGTGCCAGAGATAGGTCAAATTCACCCAAATGACCCCAGAAGTGTTTTTTTTTGCTAAATCTCTCTAACGGTCAAATTTCACTTGTTTTGTATCAATCTTGATACAGGGTACTTATATGTTATAGCTTGGATTCCTAAAGCTTTTAGTCTACCATCCCATCATTCAAGGGTGGTTTTCACTATAAGTTTTAATTTTTTTTGGACGGACACTATCATTTACATTTTCTTACTGTGTTCAATCTGAATTTACTTTAAAATAAAAACATCTATATTGATTCTGACACTTCTACATCCAACTCACAGATTGTATTAATGTAAGCCTTTTAGAAGTGAAGATATGGTCATTTGTTCTGGGAATGTCATTTCCGAGCCTGATACCTGAAAAACAGGCTCAGGGCTTAACAGGTTAAAGTGCTACAAGGGGCATAATTGTCACGGCTGGAGGGCAAGGTACACAGGACCCAAATGCAGAATGTTGTTTGAAATCCAAAATACTTTTATTGCGGAACTAGGCCAGGCAACAAAGTAAAATACGACAAAAAAAAAACGACAGACAGAAAAACCAGAACTTAAATGCACACAAGACTAATCACACAAACAAGACACAGGTGAGGAGGGAGGAGAAAACAGGGGCACAAGGTGAACACAATCGGGTAATCAGGCAGGAGGGAACACAGAGACAGGAAGCAACAGACAAGACGGGGGGTGAACACTTTTCAAAATAAAACAGGAAACCAAAGACAGATCTAGACAACACAAAACACAACACAGACAGATCGTGACAATAATATACTTTAAAAACATATTTTAGTTTTGTGTATAGAGCTCAATGCTGTCACAAAGACTTGAGCCTATTCAAACCCTGCATTGATTGTTTAAAAGGTTAACTATTTCCCTCTGGATATTTTTATGCTGTTTTAAAACGAGAGGGACTGATACATTCCTGTGTTCTTTTGTTCAGGTGTGGTGTCACAATGCATAAGAGCCAGAAGAGCGCAGGTAACATATCACATCTGGAAATGTGCTTTATCGTTGGATTCAGGTGTAGTTACTTATTGGCATTTTGGTGCTGCATAGAGGAAACTGGTTTATAAATATTGTTATTGATAATTGGACATGCAAACCTGATGTTAATGGTGCCAATGTTAACACACTCATTAATACTGTAGTAAGGTTTTTTTATTTTTCTTAATTTGATGATTGTTTTAATTGATGTTGTAACAAACTCATTTGTTCAGTTCTTCTTTCTTTGTTCATTGTATTCCTTTGGTGGTTTCCCCAAATATAATTTACAGTGAAGGAAAGTTGCAGATTTATAAAAATAAAGATGAGATCTAAGCAAATGATCACAAAACAACAGGCTTTTCTCTTGCTCTCAGGTGGAAATACGGTGTTCTACAAAGCAGTACCAAAGACAGCGGAGGTGAGATCTGGATACCTGTTCAAGTCTCCTCCCCAAAAACTGCTGAAGACAGAGGTGACAGATTTACAGTAACAAATACAAAAAAATGTATTTCATCTCTACATGTGTTGTTTCTTGCAATATTTCATTATTTATTTTGTCTTGTTTCTCCTGCAGAAATCATGGAAGAAGCGTTACTTTGTGCTTTTCAAAATCAGTGAACAAGAATACCTACTGAAGTACTTCAGGAGTCGAGATGATAGGGACATGCCGCTTGGAGGGATAGACTTATCACAGTATGTTATCAATCAATGCCAATGCATTGACAAATTATTATTTTAAAGCATTTCATAGCTCCTAAATGCAATAGCAATTTGTTTTAAGTAGAGATCCCCTCCAGCTCAACTTACAGTATGTCATTTGTGTCCCTTTTTCAGGATATCACTGTTATTTGTTGCCCCTCAAAACCACCAGAGATGGGCATGGGTCCAGAAAAGCTTCAAGTGTGCTCCATCATGTGTGCTCTTTATCAAGGCAGCTGGCCGGGAATACTTCCTTGTCGGGGAGACAAGGTCAGTCAGCTGTTTTTTTTTTACAGGGGATAAAACACTGAGGTGAAAAATTAAGAAGCTTCCAATTTCCATGCTTTTTACTACACTGTGCTGTAAGACTCCTGACCTCACACACTCTTGAAACTCAATAATCTTTCATTCTACTCTACAAAAACACAAAAAGGTGTATATTTTTTTTAAAAAGCAGCCTAATGTGATATCTCAATTTAATGCTGGATATTTAGTTATTTGTAATGATTGGTCAAAGGGGATTTTTGAAACCAAATTATTATTCACAGAACACTTTACTCTGCCCTTCTCAACATCCACTATTTTGAGCGTTCTAACAATCAAAAAGGAATAATGATATTGCTTTCCTGTTGACTAGTAGTCTGTCATCTAAAACATGACTTTTCCTTCCACTTGGCTAAGACAAATTGGTTTCTAATGGTCACTATTTCCACTCTGGATTTTGGAATTGAATTTTAAAATAGATGTAATTGCCATATTTTCTTCGAGTCTCAAAATTAGATTTGTAAGTGTTTCATATGTCCTTCTTGCTTTAGTGAGGAAGTGGACGGCTGGTTCTCTGACCTGTTTGAGGCCCTGAAGAATCGGCCACATAAATGTCTGAATTCAGAGGTACATTGAGATTCTATTTCTTTATCATGATTTGTAACAGCATTATAAGACAAAGTGTCTTTTCTACTTCACTTTTCTTTGTATCTATGTTTGTTCATCTATTTACAATGTAAATGTGTTTTTTTTGCTAAAGGAACTGCCAAATGTGAATCAAACAATAGAGGTAAATATTTAAAGTATTTAACTCGTCTGTTGACAACCGACTGCTGTACAGAAGTAGCTTACTTTTTTTTTTTTAAACAGTTATTAACTTTCTTGCTAAGAGTAAGTTGAAAAGATTATGGCTTTTCACATAAGTAAGATAAAAAGGTTGCTCAAGCTAACAGCCAGATAGCTTAGCTTAGCAACACAATGCTAACTTCCAGGTGACACACACAAGTTAGTCAGTGCTCCTAAGAAATACAGCACCTATGAGATATAACATGTAAGTGAACTTAAAAGACGTTTGTTGGCAGATTTTGAAACAGAGTCAGGCTAGTTTCCTCCCCCCTGTTTTCAGTCGCTGTGCTAGCTAGGCTAACAGACTTCTGGCTCCAGCTACAGATTGTTCGCAGTGATGGTATGAATGTTTTCATCTTATTCTTGGAAAGACATAAACACATTTTATAACATATTTAACGATTTCCTTTATGCTTCATCATGTTTTTGTTTTTCACATTACTCGTTGCCTGGCTCAAATGAATGTAAACATGTTTTATTTTCCAATGAGTAGCTTTTTTTCTTTTGGGAGACTACATAATTTTTTACATTGATTTAAATCAATTTTCTGCTATCTACATCTGCTTTCATTATCACAACACCTGGGCAGTCTGAATCCCCTCAGTGTCTCTGACAAGTGCAAAAACGACTACCATACAGTTTAAATCTATCAACCATGCTTATCGATCAACTCTCTTTTTGACTTTTAAAAAATAGTCTTGTCTTCTTGTTGAACCAGGTTATTTCAAAACCCTTTATGCGGAAAAAGGGTTCTGCCACAGTGCCTGAACAGGTTGGTCCATAAAATGTCAACAAAAACTCTGCATGAATTTGGCTTAACTTTCTAAATGCATGCATACCTTCAGTCAATAATTCCTTTGTGTGAATCTATTTGATCTGTTATTCTCTTTTTGTGCGGAGAAAAACATGTGTATCCATATTATCTCATTGTTGATCTGTGGGCCCTCCCTTTACATTTAGTCCTCACTTTTACATGACCTATTCTGGCGATTTTATCCGAGTTTAATGTATTACCGATGCATCAGACCCAGGGACACTGAGATGAAGTGGCTGAAGCAACATATAAACTGCAATAATGGTGGAAGTCTTATTTCTATAGAAAACACATTCTGCTGCAGGAATAATATTAAAAATATTAGATTTTTGTACTAGGAGCTATAATGAGTGTTTTCTTTTATTTTTCAGCCAATGCTGAAAATTCGGTCCCACTCTGATCCATCATCCAATGCTTTGGATAATGACACTGCAGAATCAGAGGTGCTATATTTTGGCTTGTTTGTTAAACACATATCTAATTCAATTGAGTATTCTACAATGATAATGGTAGAGGTGACTTTTGTCTTGGTTGCATTAAGTACAACAAATTGTTTTCTGATTGTCTGTTAGACTGAAGAAAATATCAGAAGACCTACATCAGAGCCTTTTAATCAAATCTACGACACTCCCAGAGCCTACTTATCACCATCAGCAGCGTACTATGGCACCACCCGTCGCAAAAGCATGGACTCAGTGTGAGTGTTAATTGTAAATCTGAGTATTTCCCGTTCGAATAAAAAAAAAAAAACACTCTCATTCTTAGTAATTACTTTATTAAATTGACACATGCTGAAATTGTGACCTGCATTAATACAATAATAAATGTGATTTATTTGTTCATCTCTTATTTTGAATATCTGTTACTTGCAGATATGTGTTGATGACGGAATTAAGACATGCACAAGTGACTCTGGCAGGGTAAGTTTGCTTTATAGAAGGACAGATTCAAAATGATCAATAATCACTGATTAATGTTCAAATTAACAGAAGATGATTGTGACAAATGTTTTTAGGGACCGTGAAGTTGAGCAAGTGACCGGAGGCACCCTGATGAGGTCTGTCACGCAAGTCTTTGACAAGCTGAAGACTCGGATTTCCCCACTTCCTCTATTCGATGAGGAGACGTACTCTGAGGACAGGTAGTTCACAGATGAAATACAAGATTGTCTTCTTTTTTTTGTGGGCCGTGTGTTTATTTTTGACTTCTCACTGTGTCTTCAGTGTCAGTGCCCTATGCTCTTTGTGTTACATGTTTTGGCAGTGCCCTAGACACCAAAATAGCTCGCTCATCAGAGGTTACTGCGGCCTCATTGGCTCCGACACCTAAACGAACAACAAGAAGGGAGTTATTTTTAAAGAACTGTTGACACTCCAGGACCAGCTAAGAATCTAAGAAAGGCAGCACCTCAGAGCCTGTTTGCCAATTTATGTGCTATAAAAAGATATGTCTTTTCATGTTGTGGTAGACATTATACCTTAAAAACAGAACATCTGCACAGATTTATTTTATCGAGTCATGATAATGCATGCGGTAAAAAACATAAGCTGAATTACAGGTCAGGTGTAACTGATCTCATACGTTAGCTGTTTTTGTTTATTATTCTGAGCTCCCTAAAAAGCTAAAATTGACTACACTGTAACTCATACGTGCTATTATGCATATTATGCTTTAAAATCTATGTATGCAAGTACTGTTGTAACAATTTAAAGTGAAATGTTTGACTTTTTCCATAAACAGCAGCCAGAAGTGACTATTATAGGATACATGTAAGGCAAGGCAAGGCAAGGCAAGTTTATTGATATAGCACTTTTCAACACAAGGCAATTCAAAGTGCTTTACAAAAAATGAAAGAGATTAAGAAAATGGCATTAAAAAGAAAAGCTAATAAAATAAACATTAAAAGAAAAAAATACATGGATAAAAGTTACAGTGCTGTCAATTAAACATTAAAAGAAAAAAGTACATGGATAAAAGTTACAGTGCAGTCTAAGATATGAATAGTTCAATTAAAAGCAGCGACAAAAAGAAAAGTCTTCAGCCTGGATTTAAAAGTAGTAAGAGTTGTAGCAGACCTGCAGGTTTCTGGGAGTTTGTTCCAGATATTTGGAGCATAATAACTGAACGCTGCTTTACCATGTTTAGTTCTGACTCTGGGGACAGAAAGCTGACCAGTCCCTGAAGACCTGAGAGATCTGGATGGTTCATAATTTAGCAGGAGGTCAGAAATGTATTTTGGGCCTAAACCATTCAGTGCTTTATAAACCAGCAGCAGTATTTTGAAATCTATTCTTTGACACACAGGAAGCCAGTGTAAAGACTTCAGAACAGGAGTGATGTGATCCACTTTCTTAGTGTTATGTAATTTATTATGTAATGTAAATGTAAATATGTAGTGAAATTTACGACTGCACCAAAAAAGAAAATCTGTTTTCTACCATCTGATAAATGCAGGAATTTTCACCAGATGGTGAAAATTAATAATAGTACATTTTTTGTTAACATCATCCTTTTCTGTAGCCTTAGTTTTTCCATACAACTGACAATGCCTTAATTTTTGCACCAAGTCATCTTTCTTTTGCTTATCTCAAGGCACTACAAATGCAAAAGGTAGTATTTCAGACTTGCTGTTTTCTTCAGCATCTCAAGGAGGGCAGTTCTTGGCAAATCAGATTTGACTTGCTTGTTTACAAAAACATTGTGTTAATCACCAATACAGCAGGCGATCCACATTGTGTGGCTTCTTGCTGTTTCAGGCAATCATCCCCTGTTCCTGTTTTGTTTTCTGAAATATACTTCAACACAAAACTGTGTGACTCTTCTGTATTTTCACACTGATTTTTGTTTTCTGGCTGCAACACTGAAGACTCTTCTTCCTCTACTACATTTGGCAAATGGGTCAAAACACTCCTTTCTAGTGCTTCTTAATTAGATTTCCTGTTGCGCCTTTAAAGTGATTTGTATCTCTCATGCTGTTTTTATGAACTATTTTTAAAACATCTCAAGATGTCTGGTCCCCTTTTTGAATAACGGAGAGAAAACTCTTTAGGTTTTTGAACTGCACATCTTTCACCCTCCATCAATAATTTCTTCTACCTTTTATTGTCTTTGATTGTGTTTTCGTTTTTCTGCAACAAGGGCAAGACTTATGACCATCTTCTAATACTTATCATACAGCGCCAAAATCTGTATTACAATCTAAGTGAAACATGTACTAAGGTGTGATGTAATAATCAACTTGCTTTTGCAGAGGTAAAAACACACGTCCACTGTCAGATATCAGCACCAGTTCCAGTGACAACGGTGCCATCTCTCCTGACGATATGCTTGATGCACCAATTGTGCCAACACTGGAAGAAGGAAGCTCTTCTGAAAGGTGAGATTACAAAGTAACTGAATCCAAAGAAGCAACCAAGTAGATACTATTACCTCTCTTGTCTTACAGTATAAATCAGCACATGTTATGTGGGTGTGATGATCAACTGAGAAAGAGTTAGCATGAGCACATATTCAACCTTTTTTATACTTGTTAGGACAAAAGGACACATTTTAAACCACCACTCAGCACCGTCTTTGCTATTGCAGATCAGAAAGGTCAATCTGCTTTGTAATGGTTACAGAGAACAAAAAAAGGGTGACTGACGCTGACATGTTGCTGGACTGGTTTGAGTGGTTTCTGAAGGTTTATGCAAGAAGATGCTAGTATGATAGTTGAATAATGTGGCAATACACACACATTAGGAACTGAGGTGACCTTTCTTCCAGAGTTAAAATTAATTGTTTAAAGGCCTGGTCTATAAAAAAAAGTAGGCAATAATAACTTGTTTACTCCATCCCTGGCTGACATATTTTCTTCTGGATAATAAAAGCTTTGACACCATCACCCCAGAGGAGAGAGACTTCGAGATCAAGCAGGGAGATTTGAAAAAGCACCTGACACTAACAGATGTGGATGGGAAACCAAGGTAAGTTTGTCTATAAAACAAGGCCAAGTCTTCTAGACTTTGTGAAAAATCAGCAACTGCATATCTCCATCTATATCTCTACCTATATCTTTATTCCTACCTCTATTTACGCAGAGAAGCAGCTTCTTTATCTCTGCATCGGTGTCCTCACAGGGTGCATTCAAGCACAGTACTGAGTTTAGGTCACCCAACACATAATTACTGTTGTTACGCATGTAAAACAGAAGACAAAAGATTAGAAGTGTGAACGTATGCTTCAGGTCTTGAGTACTCTGCTAAGTGCAAGTCAAAATGTGAACTGTCTAGACAGCTGGATTGGAGTGTTTCTCTTTTGTCAGATGTGTGTTACACATACAAGAAAACAATACAGCTAAAATGTATGTGTAGACGGGCCGTAAGATCTAAGTTAGTTTGACCTACAACGTTAGTTCAATCAGGAGAGACGGTTTTGATGTAAGAATACATATTTATTGCCAGGGATACACAAATGAATGTAGGGCAGGAGTATCATTTGGGAGGGGAGAACCGATCCGATGAAACCCCCCTGGGGTCTAGACACTGGTGGTGGTGAATGGATAGGTGGGTCGGTCTGAAGAGGAGTGGCTTGGCTTGACCCTGGATTCAGAGGGACAGGAGGTGAAAAGGGGTGGAGGAGGGTTGCATTGAGTCACCTGAAATGACAGCTGTCAGAGGGGGGAGAGCAGATTTAAAAGGTTTAGCAGAGCGCTATGATAGGCTTGTGGGAATAGAGCGAAGTGATTGGTTAAGCTGGGGAGTGACGCCCCCGATCACTTATTGAGAGGAGAGTAGTAACATGGAAATAGTAAATGAATCAGTAAAGACGGTCTTCCTGGTTGAACTTACGCTGAGCTTCATTTATCTGCTGATGGCACATTTCTTAATAGGTTTACATTTTAAAAGACATTTAATACAAGATGACTGGTGGAAATGTTTGAGCAAAGTAATGAAAAACATGAGAGCTTCTCCAGACTGAACTCATGTTTCACAAATTGAAGGTTTATTGAAGCTTGATCAATGATAACAGAAGTGTTCAGGCTGAATGCATTTTGAAGCACAGCCATTCTCTGAATATTTATCAAAAACTATCTAAAGATCTAAATCTAAAGATCCGGGGGCTCCTCAAATCCTACTCGACACATCAAGACAGCCGTATCATCACTGTCTCTGAAGTTGACCTAGATTCTGTTATATCTCCGTAGAATTGCATTGCAGAGAACACTGGGCACGCCTTACCTGTTATCAGCTATCGGCCGACTGTTCTGCATGTTATGTGACTTTATTTTGGAGAGAATGCTCCGACACATGGATAGATCTGTATGGATGTACAAATACAAAAAAGGCACAATGTAAATTACTCTATGATTTCGAACTCCAGGATGAATCTAAAACTATGTGTGTGTGTATGTGTGTGTTATAGCGTGTCTGCGTGGACAGGCCAGCCGCAGACTGTGTGCCTCTTTCACAAAGGAGACGCAATTCTGGCAATCAATGACTTGCACTGCGCCACCGTGGATGAGTTCAACATGTTCCTCAGCAAGTCTCTCAAGAATGAGGTACGTCCAGAAAAAATGGCAAAAGATACTGAGCATTCATGATATCAATAACTATGTAAAAGGTCAACTAAAAGGTCAATTATTTCCCTTTCTTCAGGTGAAAGTGACCATCCTGCGCTGGCCTGGATGCCCACCGCTGCATTCAAACGGCCACTGCATCGAATGAATGCAAACTAAACATGAGAGTTACTTCCGCAATATGTTGGTTTGTACCATGTATTGACTCCCTTACAAACGGACAGTATGGACGGGATGTAGGCAGTTCCTGTTGATCTATCACTCTAAGGTTTACCTGATTCAAACGTCTAGAGGAAGTTCAAATGAAGTAGAAAATGATTTCCAAATCTCATGACTCACGTTATATGAGGACAGATCAAAAACATTTAGTTGCCAATGACTTGCAGTTTTAGCAGAGATTGACCTTTAATAATGTCATTATGTATCGTAGCGACTAGATAAGCTGTACGGGGAAGGAAACAAAGGCAAGGGTTTTACTGAAACATTTCCTCATACCACCTTTGTGAGAACATTCTCACAACGCCTTGACCCAAGAAAGACAAATGTATTTTTTTAATACAAGGCCTAATGTGTAGAAAATGGTATTATGCACTTTGTAAGAAAGATATTTTTTTATAATTAACCTCTATCCAAGAAGAGAGGAAGTGACTTAAAGTGATTTGAAGAACATGAAGATGATGTAAGGCTTAAGAAAAGATGCTCTGAATCAACATTTATGATCCAAATGAAGGAATTAAATATATGTATATCATGTAAAGTTGAAGTGAATTTTAAAGCTTTATTTTAATCTCTGTAACATTGTTGTTGTGCGAATGTCATCACTGAGTAATGCTGGGTAAATTCCAATTTGCTCAGTAGGTGGCACCTATGATGAAATTCGATTGTAATCTAATGCATGACGGGTGCATTGTTTGTCCAAATGCATTTGTTGTTATTGTGTGGCTACAGTACACAAAGAAAGGCTTACGTGCATATCATTCCTTTCCTAGTCATATATGTCTGCTTTGAAAGTGATGAGGAGCGGATGAATGACGAAACAGATCACAGTACCAGTATTTCATGTTGTCTACCACACCTTAGGGCAGTGGTTCTCAAACTTTTTCTGTCAGGCCCCCCCTTTGGAGAAAAAAAAAAGTCGGGCCCCCCCAACACAAATAGTCAGGCTCAGTGGCGGCGCCAGAGATTTATTTTGGGGGTACTGTGGGGTAGCTTGACGTTTCATACAGGGTGCTCAAACATTTAGGGTTTCCCATTAATGTATCGGGCGCTACAGTGGAATGTTCTACTGCAACACTCCCCACGCATACACACAGTGTACCCGCAACTGTTACAATGAAGGCTCAATAATCAGCTCATGGCATATAGGTGTAAGCAGGGGTAAAGTGCTATTTTTATAGGTGGTGTGTGGACCTCACATAGGGGGGTCCGGGGGCAAGCTCCCCCAGGAAGATTTATTTTTAAATATTGAAGTTAAAAGCATCAATCTGGTGCACTTTGAGAGCAAAATGAAGAGATCTACAGTATGGATACATCTCTCAACACAGAACTGTAAACAGATTTACTATTTCTTTATGGATATTTTACAAATCACTCCCCTTTTAAACGTTATACATTTTTTAATGTCATATAGTATTTCATAATTGTTTTTAATTTATTTATATTAATGGTGACCAAAACGTTTGAGACCCACTGAGATAACACTGAGAGAGTCCTTTAGCTCACTGAGTCTCTCAGTCTGACAGGAGAGGACTCTCCTCCACTTTGTTGTTGAAAAAACTCCTTATATCCGTTAGCGTAGCTCGCTAGCACCATAAGCTAATATCAACGATCTCCGGTACGCTCTCTCTCTCTCTCTCTCCCGCTCGCGCACACACACAAAATGGCTCGTTCCACACACACACAGAGCCGAGCTTTAATGAAACACAGACACCCAGACGTAATAGTACTGTATCATATTATTTTCGAATCAATAATTTTTCAAAATATGATTTTTTTTTTTTTTTAATTAAAAATCTTTTTAATTTTTTTTTTTTAATACCCATTTTTTCTCCTGGTCTCTCGCGCCCCCCCTGTCATGCCTCTGCGCCCCCCTGGGGTGGCGCGCCCCCCACTTTGAGAACCACTACCTTAGGGTGAGTCTTGTGAATTAATATGCAGAGGGAATAGCGTTGCTCCTCTGGCCGTTTCATCCTTTTCTCTCCGATTTAAAGCTGAAGACACTTTGCTGGATTGTAATTTTAATATAGCTTGGGAAGATGTTTTTTAATCCTTTTTAAATTATGTCTGGTGACCAATGCCTCTCCGCGACAGACAACATCAGATGGAATTTATCTGCAAGGCTGGTTCACTTGAAGTGCTACCATCCAGTCCGAGCTTTATAACTGTTATCATCAAATACAAAAACATCTTACACTGTTAATATTCTAATGGAATTTTATACGCCTTATCAAGATGATTGTTTTAAGTTTAAATTGAGCTATTAATCCGAGATGAGAGACATTACTGTACTTTAAATACTCTGTTATAAATAAATCCATCCTCTCAGAGGGAGCAGCAAATCAGTGTTGAATGAATGTTTAATTGTATTTGAATATAAAACTAATTACCAGATTGTTAAACGGACCATTTGTATTTTTTCAAATGCCTTTTTTGGACTAAGGAATGCAGCATGATTAGATTAACATAATTCCAGCTCCTTTACTTCCAAAATCTCTAAAAGTGTATGTATATAACAGCTAGTATAATTATCTATAATTTACGGTACATACACTTTACGGTAAGGGTACATGAATCATCATGAATTCATGCATGAAAAAGCATGAATTCATTCATGTAGTACTTCATGAACTATCAGTAATGTACAGGTATTAATGGTATCTCATGCACTTAATGCAGGAACAATACCTTAAAGGTGGGGTAGGTAAGTTTCAGAAACCGGCTCGAGATACATTTTTTGTTATATTCCATGGAATGCTCTTAACATCCCGATAGCAATGAATATCTTAAGTGCTTTGACAAAAAATCCATTAAAAAATGTAATCTGTAGAAGCCGTAATACTGTAAAAAGTACAACCAATCCATTTAGCCGGGCCGCCTAAACGGATTGGATGACCTACCTGCCTGTCAGCCTTCCATCGGGGCACAAATTTATCTCGTGCCCTCATTGGTCACGTGCGCGTTCGTTTGTGTTGGAGGAGGGGCTCTGTAAGGAAGTGGCAGATTTTCTCCGGTTGTGTATTTTCAAATTCTAGCGATCTCGAGCCGGTTTCTGAAACTTACCTACCCCACCTTTAATTAATGCATCTACTAAGGTACCTCAATCATCATGACTTCTGAGTTATTAATGATGTTCATGTCTTCTTCATATAGATCTGCAATTCAAGTGTCAGGCCAAAAAGCTGACCAGTCACAGCAATTCAAAGTGTTGTAATCATGATTAACTAAGCATGACTTTGTCATTACTTAATCATGTTTGTGCCCCTTCAAAGTGGTGGCCTGTTTCATCGTTTACACTGATAACTAACATATGATTAATGGTCAACACACTGAACAGGGTTGGGGTCAACACTTTGAATTCCACAGAATACATGCACTGCTATGACCGACCGACCGGGAAATGGCTTGCTGTGGGCAGAGACAGTAATGCAGTGGTTATCACATCGGCCACCAGTGAAGGGCTAATAAGCATGAAGGCACATGCATGATTTGAAATAGGAAAAGAGGCGACAGGTTTAATGAAATGCCTTGAGAATCATTCATAAATAAAAAGTGATGGAAACTTACAGTAAGTGTTAAGGCAACTTTAAATCATATTTTTTTGTAAAATGTGAAGTATACATCACATCAGGGGCATTCTCACTTAACACTGTATATCCTTGAGGAAGCGTTGATGCTGTTGCATAATAACCTGTACAATCATTTATTTAAAAAAATAATATTAAGTTTACATTTCATGTTGCAAAAAAAGGTACAAGTGTTACAAGAATGTCTGAAATATTGATTTATTTTAAGCATACAAATATTAAATACAAAAATACAATTATCAAATTGCACAATTGCAAAGCAGCGTTTGCACATGCCCCAGCAGGCAGTAAACACATCCATTCAATTCAGTTCCTCTGTATATAATACTTCTGGGTAAGGTCTAACTGCAGACATGATCCGTGTGCAACCTCATTAAATAGTGAATGAAATTTGAATTGAACCTATTGTGGACAGGAGCAGAGTCTATATCAACTGTAGGAGCCACATATGAAGCCATTTCTGTGTTTGTTACGATACATTTCATTTAATTTCAAACCTTTATTTAGACAGATAAATCCCATTGAGATCATTGATCTCTTTTTCAAGGGAGACCTGCTCAAGTAGTTCCACATGAAACATAAAAACATAAATAGAACAACAAAAGGACATCATACAGCATCATTTACATAATTATCCACATAAACAGGTACCAATAGCTTACGATTGAGTAGCATCCAACCGAGCTTTAAAAACATTTAGTGGCACCAGATTGTTCAGTTTCCATTTCATTTGCAGACTATTCCAAGACAGAGGAGCTGCGCATCTAAAAGCTGTCTTCCCTAAGACAGTCCTAGCAGTTGGCACATTTAATCAAACCACAGCATTCGATCTCAGGCAGTAGCCACTTACAATTTTCCGTGAGATCAGGGAGCAGATATAAGATGGAAGTTTCCCTAACATGGCTTTGTATATAAAAATGTACCAGTGACTGAGCCTCCGTACAATTAGTGAAAGCAAACCAGCCCTTGCATACAGGGTACAGTGATGGGTTAATGCTTTACAGTTTGTCACAAATCTCAGTGCACTGTGCTAGGCAGCATCTAACTTGACCAGGCAATTGGCAGGTGCATTCATATACATCAAATCACCATAGTCCAGCACAGGTAAAAAGGTCACAGTGACTAGCCTTTTCCTGGCCTCAAGTGAGAAACAGGACTTGTTCCTGTAGAACAGTGCTTCTCAAAGTGTGGTCCGCGGACCACTGGTGGTCCGTGAGCGCCCCCTAGTGGTCCGTGAGTATATTGGTAAAATTTCACATTTGAAATTAATTAATTAATTAAAGTTTTCCGCACTCTCATGGGAATATGTCCGCAATGGAGCGAGCTTAAGTTTCACTTTTAATTGCATGATATAGCCCAGATAAACACCTTCATCACACATGTGGCCACTTATTTGTACCATTTTCAGGCGATTTGTAAAAAACGATGTGTTTTGGATATTTGTGGAATTAGGTGGTCCGCGAGTGTTTTTTTATTGGTTAAGTGGTCCTTGGTATGAAAAAGTTTGAGAAACACTGCTGTAGAAGAAACCTAGCCTAACCCTCAGCTTTTTAAGCAGGTTATTGACATGAAGTTTAAAAGTGAGACAATCATCAAGCCAGATACCAAGGTATTTGTAACAGGTAACCACTTCAAGTTTTATTCCTTGCGTAGTTACAATATCTAAAACAGGCTCTGGTGTCTTTTTAGCTTTAGAAAAGAGCATTACCTTGGTTTTCTCAACATTTAAAAGAAGCTTTAGTTCAGAGAGCTGAGTCTGAATAATGTTAAAAACATCCTGTAATTTAACACCAGCCTCCTGAATGGAGGGACCTGCACAATACATCACGGTATCATCCGCATAAAAATGTAAAGTAGCTTCATCCACATTTTCACCTAAACTGTTGATATATATGGAGAATAAAAGTGGACCTAAAACAGAACCTTGAGGAACACCATTAGCAATGTTTAACCACTCAGAAGACAGCCCATCAAAGTGAACACATTGGGACCTTTCAGAGAGGTAGTTCACAAACCACCCTACTGCATGGCTGGACATGCCTATACTAGCTAGCCTCTGCTTTAAAATGCGATGATTGACGGTGTCAAACGCTTTTGAAAGGTCAATAAATAGAGCTGCACAACTCTGCTTATTATCTAAAATACTCACCACATCATTCACCACTTTCATTGTGGCAGTGATGGTGCTGTGTTGCTTTCTGAAGCCTGACTGATGTTTAGACAGGATGTCATTTGTACATACATGTTTTTTGAGTCACTATAGGTGGTGGGCGTGTCATTGGATTTGTGTGGTGACGTTTGTGCTTATATCCGGTTGCTTTTACCTGCGCACTTTGTAATAGATGGGGGAGTGAGCTAGAGAAGGACAATTTTTGTTGACAGCACGCACGCACGCATACAAGGATATACGTATATGGATATGGAATATTGCATTTTTGCTTTGGAAATAAAAGGTCAAACGCATACTGTGTTGGAAAGACTGAGTTTTTGCGCGTCCAGTGTTTTTTCTCTTGTTTAGTCCCTCGCGGCACTTTGTTTAAGATTACTGCCGCAATATTAACCTTTTATTTTATTTTATTAGTAGTGTTTCAGTTCATGATGTTCACCTACGCACTGCAATACAAAGTTAGTGTAAAAGCTCAGAACTCTGAAGCAACTTCAATAAAGTAATAACATTAGTTTAGTTAAAATATAATTTTGGTCATAAATCATTGAGAATTAATTGGTGTTAGCTTTAGCCTCGCAGAGCCACTCACTAAAGCACTTCTCCATAGCCTTCCTGCTGGCCCAGCTGCCGTTGTTCACTGTGGGGATGATCTTCAGCGGCTGAAGCCATTGGACGAAGCGCTTCATCTCCAGGAAGCTGCTGTGTTCGCTGTAAGGGACTCCTGTCAGGGAAACACAGGGGTTGCCATCAACATGTACCCAAAACATGTAAACAATGTATCCATGCTTAGAACAGATTATCAATCCACAGATAAACTAAGGGTTGTTCAAGTATAGGTTGTATTTAGATCTATTACCTTATTTATTAAGTCCTGTTGGGAATAAGTCAATCACTTTTCAGACTTTCACTCATACACTGATATTGTTCTTGCTAAATCCTCAAATTATGATACTTTGTGAATAGAGATTTAGCTCTAGGTTGAAACTCATCACAGAGATACGTCTAAAAATATGGGGGAATAGTAAGACAAGCAACTGGGCACATTCTAACAAAAGGGGCCAGAAGTGACCCTCGGGCTCAGAATATTCCACTGTCAAAGCACACGGAGAGAGTTACTGATGATAAGCCTATCAGCCTATCATATGTCTCGTTTTTTGTTTTGCGGAGATATTAAGACATCTTATCATACTCGTAATCCTCCCTTTAACCAGATCTACCTGAAACTGAACCCACTCAAGTCAACGATCCCACATGCGGAGGATAATATTAGGAGCAATATTAGCATATGGCTGGGAAGAGCAAGAGGGAGGAGTTTTGAACACAAGGAGGAGAGAGAAAGGCACAAATGATCTTCTGCCTGACTGACGCACTAACTGCTGAGGAGGAAGGAACGGTGCGCTCCGGCTGGTGATTGTGAGTTACAGGCCAGATGGCTGGTGCTGTTGATGGATCCGCTCAGGAAATGAAACAGGCTTCATCTGCAGTGTGAAATTAAGTCTTTTCAGAGCTGGGGTTTACTGCCAAGACAACTGTCAGGCAGTGCAGTGCTGTCCATGACTAAAGACACACGCAGCTTGGCAGGAGAAAAAAGCTGCTATTTGATTCAATCAGTGTGTGGCAACAAGACAATTAGGATTATTCGCCATTAAAAGGCTCCGTTTTGTGCTCAGTAAAAGAGAAAGAGGGGGATTGTCATTAACAGCTCTGAATAATGCAGAAGACCTTCAAACACTGTATCATTAGCATATTTTTTAGCATCTATACAACCACCACGCACACACACACCTTGCTGTGATATACAAATCATGTGCAATATATACATATATGTCGTTAATAACTGTGCAATATATACCTGGTTGCTATCTCTTCAAAACTGTTACAGGATGAGTATTTTGTAAATTGTGTAATTTGTTATCTTTAATATTTGTGTATGTATGCTTCTTAGTAAACATTAAAGCTGTCTTTGGCTCTTTTCTGCTGTAACAAATGTAAAATTCCCCTTTTTTTCCACGAATAAATGTTTTCTGATTCACATTTGTAATACTCAAAGCAACGTTTTTGTGTTTTTCTCTATGTGTGAGAATGTACGTTTGTTAGTCCTGACAAATAAGATGTGTTTTAATTTTGTTTTACATAAGTCTGTACCATAAATGGAGATGTTTCCATTGATATGAGGCTGAATATCTTCCACTGATTCCACCTTCTGGCTGAAGGTCCATCCTGTGGGCTTGAAGGCCACCAGCTGATCATATTTTTCAGAGAAGCGTGCCAGGTAGTCCTGCAGTTTCTGGAGATAAGATGTGGGTGAGAAGGAGGAATAGAAGTGAGCCTTATCATATTCAAACAGAGCTGCACTGTACCTGAAAACACAGCTAACAAAAAAGAGCAGCTGCTAAATATATACAGAAATCTGATCTAAAGTGATATCAGCTTTTGTGCTCCAATGCTAGGAAGCTTCATCATCCAACGAAAAAGTTATTCAATGTTCATTTCATCACCTGTTTGCAAAGAAAACGGCAAAGAGGTTATTCACAATGCAAACATTTTATAGATCTACTATCCATTTATTTCAAGGTGACTGTGCCAGAAGCACTTTTGATGATATTCTCCAACATGCCCTACTCAAAGGGCTCACTGCAGACCCAAACTGAATCTGTTTCCTCCCGACTCAGCCTTTCTGTGCCTAGTGATGCTTGAATTATACCGACTCTGGGACTTATCTGTGGTTCTACAGATGGCAAATTAAAACGCGTTGGTCCTTTTAGAGAGAGATGATATGCCTGGTCATCATAATAAGCATTCCCTAATTATTTCAACTACTGTCCCGGATACTTTCTCATTATGAGTCGAGCATAAGCAGAATAAAAGACGTGTTAGCATATCTAAATAAACTGCCCTTGAGTAATAAGACACAGCCCTTCATAAACAGAATCCTTTGTATACCATTTTCACACCATTTGAGAAATTGTGTATAATTATTTTAGTTAGGGCTATTGTCTTTCATCTCACTAAGTAGTGCATTACATAATAAAATTGTCAAACTTCTCCAAATAAATAAAATTAATGACTAAATAAAAAAGGGACTGTCTGAGAGACAACAGTCAGATGTTTGTTTTCTTTACATGCCCCTAAAATAGGACATGTTTTTGACTCTCGATGGCCCAGAGTCAGGCTATAATAACTTTTCAGATCAATCCAATCCACTTTATTTCTATAGCACAGCAAACATAACATTCTAATAAAATATAATATTACAATAATAGATAAAAGGCATACATAAGAAAAGATAAAGGCACACATAAGAATTGGAAAAAAACACATGAAAAAAAAATGACTGCTGTACTTACTTTGAAGGAGAGGTGCATCATGGGCAGCACATGGACCTGGGCGGCCTTCAGGTCGGTGGTTATACGTTGTTTGATTTGCTCCGACTCCAGACAGCACATGATGTTGTATTTGTCTCTAGAGAGGCACACTTTAGAGCCCAGCACCTCGGCCAGCGCTACAAAGGAAGCAGAACAAAGTCTGTGTAAGAACTATGAAAGTGGAAAATGGAAATTCAGCCTTAAGTTGATATAGTGTTATAGTATTTAAGAGCTCCTCACGCACACTGAGCAATTGTATATTTTATTTCAATATTAAGTTTCTTCCTCCAAAAGCGCTCCGGCGTCTCTATCCCGTTCTAATGTCATGCAGAGCTGGTTGAAGCTAATGTGATTACGGACTGAATGCTTTCTGTGAGGACATCGTTGGTTTTCCGATTACCTCACTACATGACTGGAAGAGTTCATGCGTCACTTTAGGATACAGGAGTGGCTCTTTTCTCAAAACAGACTAATCTATAAATTCTCCACGGCGCTCTCATTCGAGACAACACGCAATCTCACATGACCTTTCAGAGGGAGGAAAAAGGCCAGGTAGCAATATGAAGCTACAGACAAAAAAAAAGCAATCTTCTTTTTGGGTTCGGAAACACATTTACTTTGAGTCCAGCAGTATGTGTTGGTGTTAACGTACATGAATATATTAATACACTCACCCAGGAAGACTTTCTCTTTCCCCACAGAGTACGATCCGCACACCACCAGCGTACGAGGGTTGAGCGTCACCAGTTCGAAGGCGGTGTTGGCTGCGAAGTTGATGACCTCTTGCTGTCTGGGGAAAGTGTACTCAGGGCTGCAGTAGCTACAGGGATATATTATATTAAAAAAATATGAGTTTCCTTTCCTTCTTCATCACCTTTACTGAGTGTCTTACATGAGCGAATGAGGACACTGCACATATTTCAGCCCATATTGATCCACATGAGAAGAGTTTAAAATACAGGGAACATCGCTAAAAGGTCACACGTATACCCACAGTCCGGTTTCTGCCATTCAGTACCACAACTGGTTAATTCATTGTATATAAAAGGAGACGGACTGGTACTAACGTGGTGTCCAGGTAGAGCGTCTGCACCCTGCAGCTGAGTAACTCGGGGTACGTCTCCATCGAGGGATCAGCCCTGAAGTCACCGGTGTGGAGGACCGTCTGTCCATCAGGCAGGAGGAACAGCAACATGGCCGCTCCGGGACAACTGAAAGCACAGCCGCACACAGGAGGTTAAGCCGGATATAGATATTTCTAAAAATGCATACAGAGTTTCACAAAAGAACACCCTCTTAGTATTCCTCAGTGAATGCATTAAGGCAGTTTGCTTGAGTCTGTCTGACTTTGCAATCAGCGTCAGACCCTGGCCTGGTGGCTATTGACGTAATGTTGATGACTCACTGGTTGGCCTCCAGGAGGGTCACCGTGACTCCCTCCACGGCGACCGGGGTGTTCATGGGGAGGATGTGGACGTACTGCTCTGCTATCCTCAGTTTGCTCTTCACCAGGTTCCCTGTAATCTGAACAGGAGAGGCAGCTGTCAGTCGAAACATCTCTGTGGTTTACTCACAAACAGTGACTCAGCAGAAAAGCAAGTCAAACCAAGATTATTCTATAAAAAGTTAATAAAACATGGTATTGTAATCACTTTTGCATTAACGTGACCACAAATTAGCGTGGGTTGTATTTTATTATAAGTGAATATGTAACACCGTCCACACTCAGCGATCAAACTTTTCTAGGCTATGACCTACCTAGCGTCCGATTTGATTTTTTGTGACCTACCAAATAAACAAAACCCCAGTGGAATACCAATGAGTCCTTGAAAGCCTGTTTTAGTTGTAATCCCAAGATAGCAGACACTGTAATAAATCATGACCCATTTATCCAGCATCTTCCACCAATACATTTTATTCCAGATCTATTGGGATATTATAATTACTTTCAGAGGCAAGTTCTTAAATATCCAAGTAAGATAAATAAAAAGCCTCAAGTTTCTTGCTGTAACCCAATTATATTTCTAATTTGAACCTTCAGGCTGAATCAAAAACGTGTGCTTGTTTTTCTATAAACCTCGAATCAGTCAGTATATTGCCTAGTTCACACACACGGGGACAAAACTCCTAATCTGATAAAGAAGGACTAAACATTGGAACAAATGATGTTGTGAAACAACAGTCAGAAGTGCTGAAAGAAGACTTTAAATGTTTGTTGGAAACTGCCAGCTCTCTAAATGCAGAGGTGTTCATCAGTGGCCCTCTACCGCCAGTCAGAAGAGGAGTGGAGAGATTCAGCAGATTGTTTGCACTGAACACCTGGCTTTCAACGGCCTGTAATGACCATTCTGTTCATTTTATTGACAATTTTAACTTTTTCTGGGATCGCAGACATCTTTTCAAGGCAAATGGAGTTTGCCTGAACAAGTCAGGAGTGAAATTGTTTATCTCTAACATATTCAACTGCCTGCGTCATCAATCTGTTCCCTCTGCCAAGGACAAGCGGCAAGAGGAATCAAAACAGGAGAAGGACACAACACATCACACAGAAAACCCTGAAGAATTATCACTGCACCCGCCTGAGGAATGTTCTGATTATGGGAGACATATGAGACACATGGAGGAGTCTCCACTGCCCCCCCCCCCCCTGTCAACGCCTTTGAGGATACTCCGTTCACCCTTTCACCCTCGCCCACCCTCCTGGAGATCGATGAACACACAAAGGAGATACAGAGGGTTGGCACTGATTCCTTCCTGGAGTTCAAAGACCAAACGAAGGCGATACGCAGGGCTGGCACCATGTCCTTTACCCCCGCTCCTCAACGACGCCCACCAAAATCACTGCAGAGACGCGCACCATCTCCCCCGTCCTCATCACCGCGCCTACGTCAACCACCTCCCCCCCCTGGCAGCATGTCCTCTACCCCCGCACCATCTAGCCCGTCTCCATCACCGTGCCTACGTCGACCACCTCCCCTCCCTTCGAGGGGGCATCTGCAGTCTCCGAAGCCTGATAAGGATGTGTGTGTACAAAACACAACAAACTCTTACTGATATGTGATGGGTCCAGGCTCAAGGGCGTATGGCACTCTCAACTCTTTCCAGGACATGCCGGGGCCCTGCCTGCCAGTAGCTTTGCCGATATCTGTGTTGATAGGTAATAGATTAAGAGCGGTGAATCATAGAAACAGGAAGCACTCAAACGTTTGTGTGAGTGTATCTAATTTAGCAGTGATTCCATGTCAGCCACAGCTTGTTACAAAAAACATGACCGATAGTGTGTTTAACAAACTTAAACTAGCTTTATTAAATGTCAGGTCTTTGGCAGGAAAAACATTTTTAATCAATGATTTAATCACTGAGCACAATCTCGATTTTATGTTTTTAACAGAAACTTGGATTGAACAAAATAACAGTGCAGTTGTTCTTATCGAATCAACCCCTCCCAACTTTAGTTTTATGAGTCAGGAAAGAATGCATAAGAAAGGGGGTGGAGTTGCTATTCTGTTCAATGATTCCCTTCAATACAGGAAGACATCGTATGGAAACTTTGATTCTTTTGAATATGTGGCCCTTCAGCTGAAATGCTCCTCTCGAGCTCTGTTCCTAAATATCTATAGACCACCCAAATACTGTGCAAGCTTTTTTGATGACTTTACTGAACTGCTGTCTGTAGTGTGTATTGACTTTGACCGTCTAGTCATTGTTGGTGATTTTAACATCCATGTTGACAACCCCCAGGACAGAGGGGCTAAAGAACTGTTTTGTGTTCTTGATAGCTATGGACTGACTCAGCATGTGACGGAGCCCACGCACAATAAGGGGCACACTCTGGACTTAATTATCTCAAAGGGTCTGAATATCTCTAAGGTTGTGGTGACTGATGTTGCACTCTCTGACCATTCCTGTGTTTTCTTTGAGAGCTCTATTTCTGTTCACAAAAATGTTCAAAAAGAGGTAACCACAAAGCGATATTTAACTGAAAATACTAGGGAAATGTTTACTCAGAATTTCTCTTCCACACTTGCCCCTGCCAACATCTCAGTAAATGAGCTAGTAGATCATTTTAATTCAAAAATTAAAAAATGTTATAGATGCCATTGCTCCAACTAAGGTAAAGGAAGTGTCTGGCAAGAAAATATCTCCATGGAGAAAGGCCATGACCGTGAAAACAGAAAAAAGAGAATGTCGAAAAGCTGAACGCAGGTGGCGAAAAACAAATCTCCAGGTTCACTTTGAAATCTATAAAGAGAGACTTGGCCTTTATAATTTGGAATTGAAAAACGCACGACAATCGTTCTTCTCTGACATCATTACCAAAAACAAAAACAACGCACGTGCCTTGTTTGCTACCGTCGACAGACTAACTAACCCCCCAGTGTCAGTAGCCTCTGAATTTCTATCCACCAGGGCGTGCAATGATTTTGCCTCCTTTTTCACTGACAAAATTCAGAAAATCAGACAAGCAGTCAGTGCCTCTGCATCAGGTACAGCAAATGTGTTGTCCCTATCTCCACTTAACATCAATTCAGACATCATGACACAATTCCATCAGATTAATGATAAAAACCTAGAGGACATTATTCAACTTCTGAAATCCTCCTCCTGCTGCCTTGATATTATTCCAACAGGATTTTTCAAAGATGTTTTGCCTTGCATGGCCTCAGATCTACTTCATATAGTAAACAAATCTCTTCACTCAGGTATTTTTCCACAGGCCCTGAAAACTGCAGTCATTAAACCGCTCTTAAAAAAGAATAATCTAGATGCTTCAGTAATGAACAATTACAGGCCCATATCAAACCTCCCATTTCTAGGTAAAATCATTGAAAAAGTTGTTTTTCAACAGTTGAGTAATTTCTTGCATTTAAATAACTGTTTTGATGTGTTCCAGTCAGGCTTTTGTCCAAACCACAGCACTGAGACTGCTCTTGTAAAGGTCTTTAATGACATCCACTTAAACACAGACAGTGGCAGAACTTCAGTGTTAGTATTATTAGATCTCAGTGCTGCGTTTGACACTGTTGACCACAGCATATTACTAGACCGACTGGAGAACTGGGTGGGACTTTCGGAAACAGTTCTAAATTGGTTTGAATCCTACTTAAAGGACAGAAACAACTTTGTTTCTATAGGTAAATACACATCTGAGTTGACAAATATGACATGTGGGGTTCCTCAAGGCTCCATCTTGGGGCCTCTTCTCTTTAACATCTACATGCTACCACTGGCTCAGATAATGAAGAACAACAAAATAAGTTACCATAGCTATGCAGATGACACACAAATTTACGTAACAATTTCACCAGGAGACTATGCTCCAATTCAAACACTGAGTAAGTGCATTGAACAAATCAATGACTGGATGTGTCAGAACTTTCTCCAATTAAACAAAGATAAAACTGAGGGTAATGGTTTTTGGAGCCAAGTCAGAACGTATAAAAGTTAGCGCTGAGCTTCAGTCTGCAATGTTCAAAACAACAGATAAAGCCAGAAATCTAGGTGTAGTCATGGACTCTGACCTGAGTTTCAACAGTCACATTAAAACTGTTACTAAATCAGCCTACTATCACCTAAAGAATATATCTAGGATTAAAAGACTAATGTCACAGCAGGATTTGGAAAAACTTGTCCATGCTTTTATCTTCAGTAGACTCGACTACTGCAATGGTGTCTTCACAGGTCTCACTAAAAAATCTATTAGGAAGCTGCAGCTAATTCAGAACGCTGCTGCTCGAGTCCTCACTAACACTAAGAAAGTGGATCACATCACTCCTGTTCTGAAGTCTTTACACTGGCTTCCTGTGTGTCAAAGAATAGATTTCAAAATACTGCTGCTGGTTTATAAAGCACTGAATGGTTTAGGCCCAAAATACATTTCTGACCTCCTGCTAAATTATGAACCATCCAGATCTCTCAGGTCTTCAGGGACTGGTCAGCTTTCTGTCCCCAGAGTCAGAACTAAACATGGTAAAGCAGCGTTCAGTTATTATGCTCCAAATATCTGGAACAAACTCCCAGAAACCTGCAGGTCCGCTGCAACTCTGACTACTTTTAAATCCAGGCTGAAGACTTTTCTTTTTGTCGCTGCTTTTAATTGAACTATTCATATCTTAGACTGCACTGTAACTTTTATCCATGTACTTTTTTCTTTTAATGTTTAATTGACAGCACTGTAACTTTTATCCATGTATTTTTTCTTTTAATGTTTATTTTATTAGCTTTTCTTTTTAATGACTGATTTTAAATGCCATTTTCTTAATCTCTTTCATTTTTTGTAAAGCACTTTGAATTGCCTTGTGTTGAAAGGTGCTATATAAATAAACTTGCCTTGCCTTGCCTAAATGAGACCCAGACGTACTACATTTCCCAGGTATTACATGAACAAAAGGTCTCGAAATTTCAATCGACTATAATATTGTCAGAGCCATTGGCAAATTTGTATTCATCGCTGCCAACTGCAAGCTCCTTTTTCATTAGAGTGCATGCAGGGAGATAAGAAATGGGTCAGGCATTTACTCTGAGTTCTGTGGAAGAGAACAGTCAGAAAGCTTTTTAATGAGATACAAATTAAGAGGATATATTGTTTTTTTAAAAGGTTTGTAGCAACTTCAAAGAATGCACAGTATTCAATGACTTAAAGGCCTTTGGAGGGGAGACCTGACATTTTGGAAGCAATACAGACTACAGACATCTCTAAAGCTCTTTATTTTCACTGTATGAATTATTCAAATGTTGAGTTTGTGTGGAATGAAGTTTCAGTGCTGAACTCAAAGGAAATCTGGGGTAGGTAAAAACCACCATCCTTAAATGTTTAATGTGAAAAATGTAAGCAAAAAAGTCCCTCCAAAAGAAATGCCACGGTATAATCTAGTCATAAAATAAGGTTTAGAGTAAATTAGCTAATTTCAAAACACAGAGGTTAAGCTTAAGTGCCTAATTGTTGGACAATCTTACCAGTATACAAAAATATGAATCACTTCAATCAATGAAATATTCATGGAGGTCCCATTTTACAATACTCTAGACTTGACTCACTCTGTTACAGTAGATTGGCAATGTGAACTTCTTGGTCAAGCCTCCGTAGTGATCTGAGTGGAAATGTGTCAGGAAGTAGGCCCTGATGCCCTGGATCTCCCCATACTGAAATGCATCTATGGTAAACGTTGTGCCTATGTAAAATAAAGAAAAACTTACATTACAACTCACAAAGAATTAACGTATTTACGCAGCAGTAAATGGTCACTGCCTCACCTGGAATCTTCTTGTAGAAGGGACAACGCGGCGGCTCTACTTCTCCATCAGCGTTCCTCCTGGTCCACCTATTTCCTCCCCATCCTCTGGTCCTACCTTTACCTGGTTCAGCCTGAGCCTTACTATTATCTACAGCTGTGGCAGCCTTACTTTTTCTTTGCCTGTCTCCCTTCTGTTGTCTCTGTCCTGTGTTTTCACCCAGTCTTGGAACAGAAGTGGCGTTGAGTTCATTTGGTCCACTTTCAGGCTCTTTCTCCTTTTTCTTGAGGGGTTTGAGACCAAAAAACACCCCAATATCTGTCTGCTTCATACCGGAGGCCTGACCTGCCTTGATCTGGCCCTTCTGTGGCGCCATGTTTTGAGATCCTTGGACAGTGGAGGTTTGTGATGGAGGAATTTGAATACTGCTGTCAGTGAAGTTTTCCAAATGCCCGCTCTGATCCGAGCTGAGAAGAGACTCTCTGAGGCGCTCTAAAACAATACTTTGAGGAGACTGAATGCTGCTTTGACATGGACTGACAGCATCTGTTGAATGAGCTCTGTTTTCAGCAGCTAGCTGATTAGTGGGCGGCGATGAGGTAACTGACTCCAGCTGGGTGTCAGAGGAAGAAGGCACATTATTATTGGTTTCTAAAGTATCTAAAAATTGAGTGAGAACTTCATCGTCACTTGAGAAACCGTCGTTAAACAGCACCTTTGAGTTTTCATCCTCATTCTCAAATGTATCCTTTTTAAAAAGAGCTTTCCGACATTCACTGCTTTTGACTTCCATCTCTGCAGGAAACTCGGAAAGAGGAGAGTAAGATATTCCATCATCGATGTCAGGGGAAGGTTCACTTTTTATTAAACCGTCACCAGTGTCTCTTCCACTCGCTGCCTTCACAGGAGGGGATGAAAGCTCTGGTTTAATTCCCTGGGAAGAACTGATAGACTTTTTGGTTTTAGTAGAGGACGACCAGCCTTTCTTTTTCTTTAAATCCTCTGGGCCAGGTGAGCGCAGCAACATGAGTCCATTCGTACGTTTGGATGGAGGTGTTCCAGTGAGATTACAATGAGTGGATAACACAGAAACACTGAGAACACTATCCTGGGAAGTCTCTAAAGTAGAGCCATCCTCCTCATTGTTTATCAGCCCTGGGAGACAGTTGAGGCCCCTCCCCCTGCTGGTCCCTGCCTGTTGGGACAGACTGAGGAGGGCTGTGTCACCGTTCGCTCGACATTGGGCCAGGACGGTGTGGTTACATTTCCTATAATGGTTAGGAATGGTGGAGCAGCACTGGAGGCCATCTGGACATTCTGTGTGAAAAGAAAACAATGTAGACAGACTTATCAACAGAGTACTAAATGGTCATTCAAAAGCAACAGCACATGCAGATTCTGATAAAACAGTTTGACGATACATATACTCAAAATACTGACGTACCTACTATACATCAATATACTCATCGCATCAATTCAGCTGTCTCAAGGGAGCTTTCTAAAAAAAAAACACTTTATGTAGTCCAGGTTTTCTTAAATTGGGATTTTGAGACTTGACATTTTAATTGAGAATTGACTATTTTACAAACTTGGGGTTGACCAAAATATGGGCATCAACCATGTTCTTAATATCGAAACTTTAATTATGACCAGTAAATAAAGAAGTGGCTGAAAGAGAAACAAACATAGGTACATCACATAAACTAAAGTGTAAGGTAATTTGAATGGATATGGTGCAATATGTATTGTTAATGTACATCTAAACTCAATGAAACACGTCCGTCACCAGCTTCTTTTGTCTCTACTCCTCAGCTGTACTTCATTCCCCAGTCCCTTAATTGCCAATTCCTCACTCATCTGCCTTTCCTTTCCTGCCCTCCACCTCACCTGCATCACACACCTGCTTTCAATCACCTAGATCCTGCTGCCCTTATACCAGCCCATTTTCTTTTTTTCCATGCCAGTTTATCATGTGTTTATGTGGCTGTGACCTGCCTGCCAGACCTACTGCCATTGTAAGCGTTTCAAAATGAATCATGTAACTGCACCAGTCTGCCTGGTTTTCAGGTTTTCAGGTTCTTCCCTGCAATAGTTACATTTTTAAAAGTATATTGAAAAATGACACTGACAATTGAAAACTCCATGTGTTCCCCTGAATGCAGGATGAAAGGTACAAGACACACATATATGTAGTTATTTTTGATGATGGGTCTCTGATGAAGATGATGCATGTGGTCAAACGGTTTATTTTTTATTTTTTAATGAAGTATGGATTTCTGTACCTTTGCATGTGTCTCTGGGGGTGTCAAGACATTCAGCAACATGCCATCTTTGAGTCTGTACCACCAAAATGGAAAAAGGCATCTGACACATGGGGCAAAAGTCTCCAGAGGGTGGTCCCTCATCAGCAGCATTGTCTGTCTGCACTGTGTCCCTAGCAGTGGATGACTTTGATGGAAGAACAAGAGCCTCTAAACTGCTGTCTCCATTAACAACAGACCCACAATCTCCATTTTCAGCTTTCTTGACTTTGCTATCAGCTGACTTGAGAGAGAAAGAAGTGTCTCTCTTTGAGGTTTTTCTGACAGTACACCTTTTGGTCACAGTTACAGCCGGTGAATCGTTCTTCTTCTTTTTCTTCTCCAGAGGTTTATATTCCCAGATGTCATCTTCAGAGTCGTCCTTTTGTGACATTTGGAGAAAAATAAACCATTGGTTTGTCCAATTACCTCCTCCTCAAAACCCTCGTTATAACCAGTTATAACACAGGGATTGGATTCGATAGCATCCCGCGGTTGACGAAAATAATAAACGTTACAGTACTTTAACATTTATAGTAGATTCCTTTTAAAATTGTAAGGATAATTGCGAGTGCTGAACTACTTTATCATAATTAATATTTACGATATAGAGCTAGTTTCTTCTTCAGCTTCATACTATTATGTTTCGACATGTTAGCGCTTACCAAAGCACAACACTGAATAAAGTAAAGACACATAGAGAAACAGAGCAGCACATTTAACACAATTCAGCACATTATTTTAATTATTTGAGCAAAGGTTACTTTTTTCAAAACTAAAAAGTATTTGACTGGTTTTTCACCTATTTAGATATAATCTACATTTCTGTGAAAAATAGCCTTCCGGTGATATTGTTTTTTTTTTACAGTGTCGAAAGCAGCGGTCTGAATCGCAGTGGTGAATTTACCTAGCAGGCTGGCTGTTGATAGAAACATGGCGTCCCAGTCCAGCCTCTCTACTTTATTTCCTATCCAAAGTGAGCTGGATTCTGCCCTAGATGAAGCTACGACTCAACAAGAGAAAGAAGATATTGTCAACGAGTATTTAAAAAAACTAGACGAAAGAGATGATCTTAAGATACCGGATTTCCAGACAGGTTAGACCATGTTAAAGCGTTTAGCCCGATTACTGTCTCTCTCCATAGCATAGTTGCTTTACTTTTAAAGTGTGCTTACATGCCAATACATGACTCGACATGTTCTCGAGAATAAAACTTAACAGCCATTGTTTCCTCACCTTTCCTATATATAAATATTCTTTTAACACAAGTGTTTGCTAACAAGTTTGCTAAGGTTAGCTTATCCACGCCCTAAACAGTCAGGGAAGTGAGATACATCTTCAATGATCTCAAGTGGGGAAATCCGGTTGTTGCAGCAGTAGTACAAGGACATACATAACAGAATAGGATGTACATTAATTTAAATGAGAATACTGTAAAAAGTACAACGTTTTACAAGAGCATTTAGAACGAAAACTACATAGTAAAGTGTCAGTGATAATAGTAGTAGTAAACAGGCCTTTGTAACAAGTGTGCAACAGGCATCATTTGATGATAAAGTAATGTTACTCCATGTGTATCTTTTTACATTAAAGAGTAAATTAGAATAAAGCATATGAACGTAAGGTAGGCTACATTATGTTTCTGCATATGAGACGTAGCCATAGTTTCTGGTGTAATAATATATCAATATAGTAGCATATTAACCATAATTTCAACATTATAGTACAACAATATGACAAAGTATATTGTATAGCTTGGTGTAAGAAGCAACAATGACTACTTTCAGACAAAATGGAGAGCAGCTGCTTGGTGTAGGTTCACCTTTTGCAGTGCTTCCTGTGGTGTGTTTTATTGCAACAGTTTATGAGTTGTGCAATGAATAGTTAGTATCAGCATTCCCTTTTAATAGCCCCATAATATAAAGGGGTTATTGGTCAGACTCCTGCTTCATCAGTTGTTCTTCACTCATTTTTAATTTTATGTTTTTGTTTTGTATGCAGCATGTTGGCAATATCCTAACGCACCAGTAGATGGAGATCTATAGTAGAACTTCAACAGCAGAATAACATTATTCGTTACGTTATTCTGCTGTTGGGGATATTAACTGGACCCTCAAACAAGCCCTCATGACTATATTACTGACAGTTTAAAGTGTTTTTGTCTCTCTTTATATATATATATATTAGGGCTGTCAAACGATTACAATTTGTAATCAGATTAATCACAGCTTAAAAATTCATTAATCATGATTAATCACCATTCGAACTATGTCCAAAATATGCTATTTATTTATGTATATTATTGTGGGAATGGAAAGATAAATGAAAGAAGGCGGATATATCCATTTAACATAGTTATGTTTATTATAACATTTTTCTGCATGTCAAAATGAAAGACAACCCACACACCTATCCAGGGTCGGCGTCATGGGGGGTCATTCGCGGGCCATGCCCCCCCAAATGAGTCACTGTGCCCCCCCAACGCAGGGTGGGCAAGCCTTGTCACTTTGCCGATTTTTTCTTTTTTTTTTATCATATAGGCTAAGTGAAAACGTTTCCACTAAAGGTTTTTTGTGTGAAATACATCAGAAATAAATAATACAAATATAAAACACAGCCTGAGGTGTGCTCACTGCTGCTCTCTGATTGGTGTGTTGCTTGACCAATGACCCCCGACCTTTTTTTTGTTATCATTACGTGGCTGTGTGTTTAGATGAAAGCCCAGTGGCGATCTGTTCATCTGTTACACTGATTATACAGTAAAGCCATCAAAAATAATATGATATACAGTACAGTACAAGTACATGGGTCTCTGTGTTTCATTCAAGCTCTGTGTGTGTGTGGCACGAGCGCATTTTGTGAGTGCGCGAGCGGTAACGTGGAATGTTGTGGTTAGCATCTGGTTAGCTAGCTATGCTAACGGATATAAAGGGCTGTTTCTACACCAAGGTGGAGGACAGTCCTCTCCTGTCAGAGAGGATCTTATAACCTCAGCTCAGTGAGGTAAGGACTCTCTCAGTGTTTAGATAGTTCACTTTAGTGTAAGTTATCTCAGTGGGTCTCAAACGGTTTGGTCACCATTTATGTAAGTATTTTCGAGGAATACCTTTATATGATCATTATAGTTATTAAAGAGAGAATACATGAAAAACGGGTATGAAATACTATAGGACAGTAACACAAGAATACAGTTTAAAAGGGGAATGATTAGTGAAATATCCATAAAGAAAAAGTAAATCTGTGTACAGTTCTGTTTCATATGGATGCTGAGAGATGTAGGCTATCCATAGATCTCTTCACTTTGCTCTCAAAGTGCACCAGATTGATGCATTTAACTTCAATATTTTAAAAATAATCTTCCCGGGGGAGCATGCCCCCAGACCCTCCGAGAGGAGGTTAGGTCCACTCCCACCTAAAACATGTTCACATGTATAGGATACTAAATACATTTGCACACTTTTTATATGATGGTCTATGTCCATATCAAATCAAATCAAGTTTTATTTATATAGCACATTTTTCAACGATTTTTGGTCGAGCCAAAGTGCTGTATATACAGTATAATACAAAAATAACCTACAGTAAAGACACTTTACAGCAAATACAACAGCACAGTTTGTGCAGAATATCAGTATGAGAAAACGACACCCTCTGTCCTTATATGTTTCTGTTTTGGTGGTCGTGCCACAACCGTGCATGTATGCACAAGTCATAGGTGCACTATACAATAGCACTACACCCCTGCAATGTGTGTGAAAGACAATAGACTTTACAGCATGTTTTTTTAAATTGAAGTTGGTGTTTGTGTGTTGGTTGTTGACGGCAGTGTGTGCCCCCCCTTGGTAAATGATTTCCCCCCCATTCAAGTTGTTCTAGAGCCGACCCTGCACCTATCAATCATCAAACCGTGGGGTCTTAATTCATTACGTGTTGATTTCTATCAACGGGGGAGTACTTCAGGAAAGTCGACAGAGGGGGGGGGGGGGGGGGGCGGCGGCTAGTGGAGTACTTCGTGACCACACAGTGTGAACGTTGTGATCAGCTGTTTTAGCGCAGTTCTCCAGTGAAGGGGGGGGAGTCTCCCTCCGCAGCCGGTTGGCTTAGTTTTGGCACAATTCCGTTGTACAGACCGACGTTAACAGCAGCCCTGTCTGTGCACACGGAGACGGACTCTGTCGTCCGGTGATCTAAAGCTTCACAAGTACGTCGGTACGCAAATGCGCTTTGTGACACAAGTGACGGTACGCATTTCAGAGAGATTACGCACATAACCTGCGTACCAGTTATGTGCACCCCTGTACTACAGCAAAAGTATTCTCCGTCGGGACTTCCTGCAACAACACCACGCCGTTATCAAAGATGTTCTGTTGAGAAGACGATCACTACGTGACAAAAGTTTTCAAAACCGTGGCTACTGAAATCAATCTTACTAACTGCTGTCTGTGCAATTTACTCCGCGCGAGTTGGCAGACTTTATTTAGCTTACTTTAACATCATTTTTCATGGTGGGGCTAAGCCATTTCTTGGTATGGGTGTAGCCTACCCCAGCCATACCCTGGCCCTGGCGCTGCCACTGGTGGCACGTATGGGGCGGGCCATTCTGCACATTCGTTAAATGCGTTAAATATTTTAACGCAATTAATTCAAAAAATTAATTACCGCCGTTAACGCGATAATTTTGACAGCACTAATATATATATATATATATATATATATATATATATATATATATATATATATATATTGCTTATTTGGGATATAAAGTGTTGTTAAAATAAGGCTCAACATGGTTACCTTACACAACAACACTGCAAAACACCATTGTTGTTCACTTTAATAAAAGAAAGTGTTTGTAAAAGTAAATAGAATAAATAAAAACGTATGGCTGTTATATCGTTTCCTTCAGGTGATATTGAAACTAAGGTTCTTTGAAAGGACATATCGCAAAGCTGAAGTTAAACAAAGACAATACAATAAGTTTAAATAGTTTATGTGGAGGATACATTTTTTTTAATTTATATTTCCAAGTATTTAAGGCTGGATTGTGAGGTTCAGTATGTTTTCAAAATATAAAAGCAAATGTATTAATCACATGCATGTGAGTCAAGTGTGACAAATGTTATCATACACAATCTTCAGTGTATTTGATTACTTGTAAAAAAAAAAAGAAAAAAAGAATCTACAGGAATGACTTGAAAGCATTAATACCTTCACGGCTGAATCTGTAAGCGTTTCCAAGTCATTGCTTTGAGCCATCAAATTGCCGGGTCTGTGACTAAACATAATGAATAGTTTGACAGCATCATTTTCTACTCTGTGATTTCCTCCAGGCTTGGAATGGCTGAACACGGAGGGCCCTCTGTCTCTGAACAAGGAGCTGGATGGGAAAGTGGTGCTGCTGGACTTCTTCACCTACTGCTGCATCAACTGCATGCACATCCTGCCTGACCTGCACCAGCTGGAGGAGAAGCACTCGGCCAAAGGTACGGACTAGCACTGGCTTTGACTGCTGTTATTCAAATATTCCATTTCACTGATGTGGGAATATAGGACGATCCTCCCCAGTAGACTTCTCATCATCCTCTACCATGATTTGAAATTATGCACATATGCCCATAACAAATGATGTGCCAGTGTATTTATGAGTTAGATTATGATAATGAGGGATTTCTTTTTTCATATTCATGTGAAGTCTGTTGTTACAGGGCACCTTGGCAAGCACAGTTGGTCAGGTTGATGTACGCCATTAGTCAGATGGAAGAACTGTCTCAATGTTTGTCCTTTTTCCTTCTATTATTTGTGTATTTGGATTTCCTTTCTCACATCCCAATTTAATGAAAAATACTAAAGATAACCACCTTTTTTCCATCCCTCATTACTTTGACTTCTATACATTGTGTGTGACACTCATCCCAAGAAGACCAAACTAAAGAAATGCTCAGTAGTTTCATAAAAATGCGTTGTCATGTAGTTTTAAGCATTGCTTTAATGTATAATTACACCAACACAGTCTGCATGGGATTAACTACAGTATTCATGTTCATGGTAATGCAGGATCAAGGCAATCGGTAAAAACTGTGTCTCCTTGATGTGATTTTAAAGTAATAAGCCTTTAGTGGCTTCAAAGGGAACTACGAGAAATCTGATAAAGTGGAAATGAGAAATATCTGAGAGTGTGGAGTTAAAGAGAGGGGATTACCAGACATCTGTAGCACGGCTTGAGGCTAGCAGCTTACCTAGAGGGGTCAATGTATCTGTGCCATGTGAATAGAAACTAAGAAA